ATAAGAAGAATGATAAGCCTAACCAAAAGATTAGGAATTCTAAACTAGAGCTTAAGAGAGTACCTAGGAAAGCATCTAAGACCCAAAATATTAAAAATTCCTAAAGTAATTAATGTCCGTTCTAATTTGGAATACTCATAAAGTGAGCAAGCCCACTCTTGATTACATCAAACTACTTAAAAGACAACATAATCCAATGGTCATGCTGATTTTAGAATCTAAAATGGATGGAAGAAATTTTGATAGATTTCCTAAAGATTTGGAATATCCATACTTTATGCATCAAAATCCTACCAATAATCATATTTAGATCTTATGGAATGATCAAGTAGAATTAAGTTTATTAAGCTAGTATTCAAAGTATTACAATGGTCTGTGAAATGCTATGTCCGGCTAGAGACATTATGCTTCTTTGCTTATGCTAAATGTACTAAATTTGGAAGATAAGAGTTACGGAATGGTTTAATTCAACTTGCCCCTTAAGTTCATGGCCCTTGGCTTATGGGTGAGGATTTTAACATCATATCGGACATCAATGAAAAGATTAGGAACACAAGATTTGATTTTTCCAGCATGGATCCTTTTAATAATTTTTGTATGTAGATAGATGTAGATGATGTTGGATTTTAAGGTAATAAATTCACATGGTGTAATAACTAAGGTGATAGTGTTAGAATTTGGGAAAGGCTGGATCATATTTTAGTGAATGAAAAGTTTCGAGCTGATTTTTCTAGCATTTAAATGTCTTATTTAGCTAGACATATGTTTGATCACTCCTTAGTTTTTTAAAAAATTTGATCTCCCCACTTCTTTTAAAATTTTCTCAACCTATAAAAGTGGTACAAAACTTTTAGATTTCATAAGATATGGTCGGATCATTCGATTTCATTCCTTTCCAAACCTTTATTTGGAATGTTAATTTTGATGGTAGTTAAATGTATGTCCTGCAACAAAAATTGAAACACTTCTAGAAACAACTAAAAAATTAGAATTGAGAAGTGTTTGGTAATATCAAGAGGAGAATGAAGGTAGCCCAAGATTAGATTATTAGACTATATAGTGATTTGATTGACAATTGGAATGATTAGTCACTTTTCCTATTAAAGGATACACGAGCTTAATTGAATCAATTAAGTAAATAGGAGACAAATATGCTCTAACAATAAGCTAGGGTCAAATGGTTCATAGGTAAAGAATGAAATGCTGCATTTTTTCATTCGTGTATTGAGGATAATGTAAAAAATTTATGGGAGACATATATGCTCCAACAACTAGCTAAGGTCAAATTTAAAATTATGCTAGATAATGACACTCTTTCCGATGACATTAATATGATAGGAAATATGTTTGTTGATTATTTTAGGAATATTTTTACAACATGCCTCTATAATATTCATAAATATTTATTTAAAGACGTAGACAAAATTGTCACTAGTAAACGGAATTATTTTCTTACGATCGTGCCTCTTAAAAAAGAGATATGGGAGGCTATTAAAGGTTTAGATCCTTCTAATGCTGATGCTTGGGATGGGTTTATTTGACACTTTTATCAAGGGGTTGAGAAATCATAAAACATGATGTTGTCTTTGCTTTCCAAGACTTTTTTAAAAAGGGATATATTCGTAAAGTTTTATCTTCTGTCTTTTTAGTTCTTATCCCTAAAGTTCATAATCCCCTCCTCGAGTGACTTAAAACCCATTAACTTATCCATATTTACTTGCAAAATTATGTTTAAGATCCTTGCTAATAGGTTGGCTATAGTGCTTCATGATCTTATTTTACATAAACAATCGAGTTTTGTCAAGGGTAAAAATATAACTGAAAATATTGCTATTGCCCAAAAAATAATGGCTAGATTTAATAAATAAAAAAGAACAATCTTATATTTAAATTTGACATGTCTAAAGTGTATGATAAGATTAAATGGCCTTTTTTATTGAGAGCTATGAGAGAAATGGGTTTTTCTCATCACTAATGTGATTTGGTTTATAGATGCATAAATAATATGTGGTACTTGATAAGGATTCTAGGTCAAAATTTTGGTTTTTTCAAATCAAGTAAAGGAGACAAGGAGATCCTTTATCCCCTCCTTTTTCATTATTACCCCACATGTGTTATCTTGTAATCTAAACAAAGAAGTAAGAACTAGTCGTATATATCCTTATCGTGTAGGGAGAGGAAATATCTTGATTTCCTACATATTCTATATTGATGATATGTTAATATTCATAAATAAATAAATAAATAAATAAAAGATCTTTATTGGCCTTAAAAAGAATCCTAAATATCTATGAAGAAGTTTCGAGTCGGTTGACCAATATGATTAAGAGCGGTTTTTATGCCTCAAAATGTCCATCTAGGGAAATCACTGTTAGGACTTAGAAGTAGACAAGATGTTCTCAATATCAATTTCCTATGAAATATTTAGGAGTTCCTATATTTAGTGGTAGGATAAAGAGATGATATTTCCATGAGCTTGAGATGAAATTAACTAATCAAGTGGGAGGATGGAAACCTAAGCTATTATCTTTTGGAGCTAAAAGTACCTAGATCAAATAAGTTTTAAACATTATTTTAGTCTATACAATTTCAAATATCTCTATCCCAAATAATTCAATTAAACAAATGGAATGAATTATGGTTGATTTTTTTATGGAGTTCAGTTGGTGAAACAAGGTATCATTGGGTGTTAGGGGATAAGATTTACAAACCGATGGATGAATGAGGTTTAGGTATTAGAAGTTTGTCTCGAGTCATAGAAGCCCTCTAAGCAAAACTAGTTTGGGCATTTCTTGATGGAAAAGGCTTATGGGCTTCGTTTGGGATAACAAAATATGAGAATCCCCAATCTATTCTCGGATCTAGGTTGCATAATTATTCTTCTCATATTTGTAAAGCTCTAGTCAAACATCCAGAGAAAATTATAAAGTGTAATGCTTGAATAATAGGTAGAGGAGATGTTTCTTTTTGGATATCAAACCGAGTGTGGTGCTTTGCTTTCACCTCCTTTTCTTCTAGACAAGCATCTCACTCGTTAATACCATTCTAGATCATATTAAGGAATTTATATATTTCATCCCTCCCCATATTTAACAAGAGGTTAGTGACATACAATTATTGAATAATGAAGAAGATAAATTAATTTTGTACTTTAACTAATTTTGAGGAATTTAAAACAAAAACTTATTGGAATTATTGGAGACAAAATGATCCCCAAGTTTCTTGGCATAAAAAAGTTTGGTCTAAGTGGATTTCTATTAGAATTGGTGGATTTATTTAGAAATGGATTAGCAATTCCATCCCTACTAACTCTATGTTTCAAGATAAAAATATTCATTTGGCCTATAAGTGTCATTATTGTATTCAAAGGCAATATGAATCTATCGACCATTTGTTCATCTTCTCTTAGATTGCTTCTTATGTATGGATATTTTTGGGGAGAATATATATGAAACCAATCTTTCACCACTCTATTTAAGAGTTTTTCTAGTCTTAAACTCATATTCGTTCAAGTAGATCCCAAATAGGTATGTGTCAACTTGCTACTTGCTTCTTTGGTCTTTGGAAAATTTGAAGAAGTAGATGTAAAGCTAGATTTGAAGGTATCCCAATATCTTCATAAATGGTGATTAAAAAAATTTAATGGATGTGTGCTCGGTTTATCAACCAAAAAGAGTTTCAAATACAATATGTTTAAACATAATTAAGTTGCTAAACCTTCCTATCATCTATCCTAGACTTAAAAGAGGTACTTGGTTGAAGTGGGATCCTCCTCTTTTTGTAAAATTTAAATTAAACATAAATGGTCTAACGATGGATGGATTTTTCTTTGGTGAGGGGGTTATAAGGAACAATCAAGTGTAGATTTTAGTGTGTTTTTCTAATTACTATGGTATAGAGACTAATATGAAAGCAAAGATCTATATCCTTAGAAATGGTCTAAAGTTGTATAAGGAGTTATATCTTGATAACGTGTTGATAGAATAATATTCTCTTGTGGTCGTAGATGCTATAAATAATAATATTCAATCATTTTGGAAATTTATTCATATTCTTAAACAATGTTAAACTTTAAAAGGTATGCATATTACCGACCACGTTCTATATCAAAAAAATAAAATAAAATTGGTCATTGATAGGTTATCTAACTTAGCTCATTTTTACAAATCCAAGATCACATACAATCATATTAGAGAGTCGCCTCTTGAAGTTTAGAATGCTTTTAAGCAAGACATTTTTAGTATCCACAGTTATAGACATTTAGTTTTGCTTTGTATTCATTTTTGGAGCGTTCTTGTCACTCTAGTATGTTGGGTCAAGCTAGATTACTTCTTTATGTGTTGGATATTAATCTTTTATGTTGTTTGTTTTAGGCATGAGTTTTTCTTATCCTCTTATTTATGGGATAGTTTAGATTCTACCCCTTCTATTGCATATTATATTATATTTTTGCTTTATATTTAAAGAATTAGGCTTCCTTATTCCCTTTTTATGCGAAGTTAAGCTGATTTGTCCTCTTTTATATTTCTATTTTGGTTATTAATAAAAATTTCGCAGGTGCTACTCTTGTTTCTTTTTTTTAAAAAAAAAGATTCGCCAACTTTCAGCAATTGGCAAAGGGAAGATGTTCTGTTCAGTTAGTCCAAAAAGACATGTTTCTCATTTGTGGACATTGGAAGACGTGTCGCTCAGTTTTTTTTTTTTTTTTAAGGAATTTAGAAAGACATGTCAAACAATGAATAGACCTTATCAGTGCTGGCGGTGAAAAGTCAAGAGAGACCATTTATTACCAACTCTCTGATCCATACTGAACTCACCTTATCCCCCCATATACATCTCTACCCCATCTCATTGGACACAATCTGCCCACATCAGCTTGCACAGATTAATCCTCCTCCCATCTCTCTCTATTAGCTCTTACTTTCAAGTCATCATACCCCCTCCCATAACCGAAAAAACCACCACCAACACCACCACTTTTCGAGCCAATTTCTTGCACCATGGCTGCCTCTGCTGCTGCAGCTGTAGGCTCATCTTTCTCTCCATCATCAATTCACACCCTCAAATGCATGCATCTCAAGCACTGTCCGTCTGATCATTCTTTCCTCAAAGTCTCACCAGCTCGCATCATGTTAACCTCGTTATCTCGCTCTAATTATGTTATAGAACCACTTTCACAAGTTGCAGTCTCATGGAGGTTGCCAAGAGTATCTGCTGCTGTTGCTCAAGAGGAGGCACCTCCACCTGCAAATGCTTCTGCGCTGGAAGAGGAGGAGCTGACTTCTGGAGAAGCAGAAGGAGAAGCTGATCAGGTCCCTGCAGTTAATACTAAGCTTTACTTTGGGAATTTGCCATATAATGTTGACAGCGCCCAGCTTGCTGGAATCATTCAAGAGTATGGTAGTCCAGAGATGGTCGAGGTAAGCTAAACATTACTATATGATGAGATTAGTAGGATTAAATATATTAGCTGTTGATACTTTACTTAATTAGGATTTGCAATTATGACTAAATTTACCATTAACACATGAATAAGCAAGGCTGTGTCTGATGCCAATGCATATAGCGTAGTGGGTTCATCAAACATGCAAGAACCAAATCACTTTTCTAGATGAAGTTTCTTGTTGACTTCCTAAATTATAGCTCTGCCAGACTCTACAATATCCTCTAAAAAAAGCTAGAAATGCATCAGGTAGGTAATGTGCTCCTTTAGAAGCCTAATTTCTTGGAAAATTCACCATAGAAACCACTTGGATTGGGAGAAGGCATGTGCATAAAATTTAGAATTTTTTTTTTTTTTTTTTTAAATGGAATATGAAAACCTGAGTTTTCTTTGGCAGTGTGAGTAGGTGCTTATGCTTGCATCAATATGCCATGAGTGAAAGTTCTGATAACTTTAAAATGGAGGCTAAAGGGACAATTCAATCAAAGTAGTGAAATCCTATGTTGGTGATTAGTTGGGAATATTGAGTGGTAATGGTTGTGTGAGGGGGTTCTGAGAACTAATCAATGACTGATCAGTAGACTGGTCAAAATGTCGAGAGATAGTGTTGTTACCTATAGAAGTAACAGTCAACCAATAAAGTAGAATGACTACAAATAATCATAGGCCTGAGAGGAGTCAGGTTTTGGTGATGTATGGTGTGTGAGTGAGAGAGCTTTGAGAAAAGAGGAAGAGTTCAGAGATTTTGCTAAAGTTTAAAAAGTTGGAATCCCTACGCTAATGTGAGTTCGGTATTTATAGTGAATTGAGCATATTCCTTGACCGCTAAGATCATACCACATATCTATGTTTGGACGGTTTGATTTGAGCTGAAAAAACTACAATGCTTCAACTTGATAGCAAAGGCTAAGAGAAGTAACAACTGGGTCTTTTTTAACGGATTCTGCTTCGAACCCTCCAAGCCAATCTTCCTAAGGTGTTCTAAAGAAAACACATGGACACTAGTCCTGCCAGAATACTTGTGTCTATCCTTATGCTGCTCTACACCTTATGCTAGGTGAGGCCCATCCTCTGTCCAATCTATTTGTTATGTAGTTTGGACCATACCAAAACCAAGAAAAGTTACACACTGTTGGTACTCCATTCAGAATATTGAGCATATGAAATGGTAATAGATTGAATAGAACTATATTAGCTTATTGAACTTGCTTGAATGAATGGCACAAGTCTGATAATTTAGTTTTATCTTCTCGACTCACAGTTGTAGGTTTCCTCTTAGACGAGGGTGGATGGTCAAATTGGAGGTTTGAGTTTGCTGTTATTCCCTTTTTATTGTTATTGCGAGAGCTCTCCATCAGCCAGGAATGTGGTTCAGTGTCCTGGCAAAAACTATGGCTCAAGGAGTGGAGGAGCCACATGTTATCATTGCGGCAACAATTTCCTTGTTATCTGCTACACTCACATGGACGCGAGGATGAGTTGTAACTAAGTTGGTAGTTCAATGTGAACCAATGTATGAGTAGCACATAATTGTTGCCGATGAACAAAGGAGGTGAATAATTGTTTAACTGATGATCACACTATTGTTGCTAGAGAAGTTTTACTCCCAATTTGCACTACTTTGAGGGGTTTTGGGAAGTGAAAGATTGAAATCCACTTCCATATGGAAAAGAGCTGTATTCGTTTCTTTTGTTTTCAAGACTCCTGAACACGCAAATTTAGATAGTCCCTTCTCTTGTTTTTACTGAGTTCATGCTATTTTCAGGATATTGATGCTTTAGTACTATATCATGATGGGAACTTGACTATAGGTAGCGAAATGCTTTCTGAAGATTTTAGAACTTGTGATTAAGTATTTGATTTTTCTACACCCTGTAGCTTACAATTTCCCTTTGTCGTAGCTGTCATGGGATTCTCCAGTAATGATTTCCTTTTGTTGTTGTTTTTGTTTTTTGTTTTGTTTTTTTTTTGAGAGAAAGACATATTCTTTTACTGAACAATAAGCATGGCTGCAGGTTCTCTATCACAGAGAAACTGGAAGAAGCAGAGGTTTTGCATTCGTGACAATGAGTAGCATTGAAGATTGTAATGCAGTCATTAAAAATCTTGATGGAACCGTAAGAACTCCTTTTGCCCTTCCTATGATTCTCTCTCCCTCCCCCTGTGTGTGTGAATACATAATTTGTTAATAAGTCATTTCACCTCAAGCCTCTTTAAGATTTTTCTCCATTTTCAGCAATACATGGGTCGCATCTTGAGGGTGAACTTTGCAGATAAACCTAAGCCTAAAGAACCATTATATCCAGAAACAGAATACAAACTTTTTGTTGGAAATTTATCTTGGTCAGTAACATCTGAAAGTTTGGCACAAGCCTTTCAAGAATATGGTAACGTTGTTGGAGCAAGGGTTCTATATGATGGGGAGACTGGAAAATCCCGTGGTTATGGTTTTGTATGTTACTCAACAAAAGCAGAGATGGAGACAGCCCTTGTATCTCTTAACGGAGTGGTATGGCACTCCACCTCCCAATACTCTCTATACTTTCTCATTTAAGTAGCATTTTTGTTCTCAAAGTAATTGATGGATGGCTGTGTGGTCCTTATTTAGGAACTAGAGGGACGAGCATTGCGTGTAAGCTTAGCTGAAGGGAGAAAATCATAAGATTGCGGATGAAAAAAGTGCAGATTTGAGAAGGGAAGGTGAAGATCAATGCCGATAGCACCAACAAATGGAAGGAAACAATAGTTACTTTTACTATTGTAGTCACTTGGCAACCTGATAGTCTCTTGTCTTTCATGTCTATTGCGTTTGCCTGATCTTCCACTTCTGATTCTTGAGTAGAAGTTCCTCATGAAATTTATCATGGTTTTATTTGGTAAATGCTATGAATATGTTACGAAAAAGAGAAAAAAATATTGTCGTATGTATACGAGATGCTGGATGCTTATTGTATTGTTGCATTTTATACCTAGCTAATATTTTAATTTGACCATGTTGACTAAACAAGACTTGTACGTTGTTGGATGCACATGCAAGTAGTTTAAGGTGGTGTCCATTCTTATATGAATGTTTTCATGCGTGTATGTCCTGGTATAGGTTCAAGTGGGTCTCTGTGCCAGATATATGCCCAATTGACTCTCTCAATGCCAGATTTACCCAACATATGTTACTTTAGTTTCATCTACAATTGCTGATGTTTTCAAAACAAGCTGCAGATGGATGGATACCCGATGATGATTTGCCATGATCATGTTTTAGAGACATGGTTTCTGCTCTGGCTTGCCATTAAGTCCATGGACATCCTCAGATGTCCCACATTTTTTAAACAAAGAAAAAGAAAAAGAAGGGGCAACATTTCCATTTACAGCAGCATCATATTATCAAAGAATGTTTTTTGGCAGTGTTTAGAGGGAGCATATATGATTGAATCAGACAAACAAATGACCTTCATGCAGTGATATAGATAATCTGACATGTCTTTTCAAAAATTGATCTGTGAATATGATGATGAAATTGTGCTCAACTTTGTTGTGAGATATCATGATTGATGGGGAAAAGGGGTTTTTTTTTTTTTTTTTTTTCCCCAACCGTAGAGAGAATTTTATGATCAACCTTTTAATAAAAACAAATTTGTTTCATCATCCAAAATCAGATGTGTTTATTTTCTTTCTTTATTTACCAAACTAAATAAACTGCCAAATGAAATAAAGAAAAAGTGAAAAAAAATTGAAATAATAAACATAGATATGAACTCGAGAAAAATTGACAAAAACTTAGTATTTTCCATGAAGATTTGGAGTCAAATTAGAGAGACGTATATTTTGTACTATGCTTGTAAGGGGCATAGATCATCTAAAGTTAGATGTTGGAACAATGCTATGACGCGAAGAGCAAATTGGAGTTTATGTTAAAATAAATAAATAAATAAACTTAAAAGAGTGTAATTTAAAGGTAAATATTTTTAAATTTCAATAATCTCCTTTAAATATTGTGAAATTACACAAATACTTAAAAGTTTGAAGTTTAACAAAAATCCCCTTCACGTTTAAAAAATATTATAGAAACCTTTTCGTGTATCCGAAATTTCTTTAATTATTATTTAAATAATATAGTTAAGTTAGATAATTTAAAAAAATAGAGAAAGAATATAAAAAAATGAGGAACGTGATTTTTTTTTAATACACGACTATTAATTTTGTTTGGAGTTTCTTTTTTTTTCTCTCTATTTTTAAATTAAATTAAATTATTATTAATTTCTAAATAATAATTAATGACATTTTTTGTTTAATAGAAGATTTTTGCAAAATCTTCAAACTTTGAGATGATTTTTATGATTTCATAATATTAAAAAAAGTTATTATAATTTATCCTTAAACTTAACTTGAAGATTTATAAAATGAGCGTATAGTAACTTTATCATATATTTGTTAATGCGATTAATGAAAAATATATAGATATATTGATATATTATCTTAGAACAACTGACATGGAATCGAATTTGAACTTCATATCATACTATATGATTTTCTTTTTCTTTTTCTTTTTTACTATATGAGTGTCACTTAAATCTTAAAGAATAACTTTAAAAAAGAATGTAAACATTAAGAAAATATAGGAATAAAAAACTCTAAAAATATGCATAGATCATTGAATCCACTATTTCAAGATAATGATTCAACTGTTTATATGTATTCTTGAAATTGTTTCTTATTATATTTTCTTATTGTGTAATATTATTCAACTTTAAAATATGAGTTAATATTAACCGAATCGAATATAATTTGTTTTATAAACATGATCGAAAAATTGAAAACTCCAAACTTAACTCCCAACTGAAATTATAAAAAAGAATTAAAATTAAAATGGATGCATGGCACTGAAAAGTAAATAAACATTAAAAATGTATATTTTATTTTTGCCATGTAGAGTTTATTTATTTTGTTTATCATGGAAAGAAAATAAAAAGTTAGCCAGAGAGGAAGGCGAGCCAGGCTCCACGAGCGCAAGATAGCACAAAGCAGTGGGGACAGAAAGTGAATTAAAAGTCGCTTTGTTTATTTATTTATAATCTGTTATAGTTATTTTGACGGAGAACAGACAACATAGGAAAAAGGGTTTAAGACATCGTGTGGTCCTTCAAGTTTTGAAAATGGTTAAATCAGCTTCTATCCAACTTTGGGCATGATAAGGTATAAATAATAAGAACAAATTTCAAAAACATTGCCAGCCATTGAATTGTGATCTTAACACGGAATTTAATGATTAGGGATGGCAATTTGCCTCCCCCAACGAGACCCAACCTCGGTTAACATAGAGATTCTTCGAATTAATCGAGAAACGAACGAGAAATGAAAGAAGATGGTATTTGCCCATCCCTCCTCTTTTTGAAAATTACAATTATACCTAACATATATATAAATTATGAGGATACAAACTAGTCTTCAATATAATGAGTGAGCTTTAATGATCTCTAAGCAGTAAAAGCATGTAAGAATTTATGTTTTTTAATTGCATTTGTGATATTTCATCAACTTAATTAAGTATCTTATTTATTCGATTGAAAACATAACCGAATATGATATTGAATGATTATTTTTTTTAATTGTATTTTTTATATAGACTATTATCTTTTTGCTATAATTTAAAATTTGATACAAGATGATATGAGATATAAGAAAGAGAGCCGAGCGTAAAGAATTAATCGAGGCACTAGTGTCCAATAGAGATCCTCATCCCCATTGGGGAAGAGGATGATAGGAGAAATATTATTCTATGTGAGACATGAGACGGAGGTTTTTAGGCCATCTCTACCCTCATCCAACCCCATTGCCATTCCTATTTATGATGGGTCTCACTGATCTAACAACTTGTGTATTCTAATTGTTTTTTTTATTTAATATTTCATATTATTTTATCAATGTTTCATTTTTTTAATTTATAATTTGCTTATCCATTTATACGTATATATAGATCAAATGGGTATCCAATAAACATGAGTTCTAAAAGGTACCACACGAGTTGAAAGTATGAGAATTTCAACTAATTTTCAAAAATTAATTGAAATTATACAGATTAATTTAATAAATTCTTAAAACTTGAGGGACCAAGTGATGAATTTATCCTTAAAAAAAAAAACAACATAATAGAAACAACAAAAGTTACAGCACATGATTTTTTTTTTAAAAAAAAAAAAAAACGTGAGACAATCTTCTACACTCAAATCTTGTAGGGTATTATTATTATTATTATTATTATTATTATCCCTTATTCCCTCCTTGCCTCCCTCTCTCCCTCCAGTGAGTGAGTCAGTCTCCAGTTATCTTTCTTTCTCTGCCAAATATAACAGAGTCATTACTCAGATCCTGCTCTCTCTTTCTCTCTGTGATTAATAACATCATGAATTCATTGATAATATGTTGCTGCAGATCTTGAGATAGAGTGACATTTTTCGATCTAGGGTTTTTCTTTTCTTTTTCTTTTTTTGGTGGAAATGTCGTCGTCGGTACCCTATCACATTCCCGTCAGTGCTGCCCAGGTTCGTTCGTTCGTCCGTCGTTCCTTATATATATATATCATACTGCTTTGTTATCATTTGTAACTGAAATGAAAGAAATGGTGGTTTGTTGTTTGGTTGGTGTAGGTAGGGACTTACTTTGTGGCACAGTACTATCAAGTATTACAGCAACAACCCGATTTTGTTTACCAGTTCTACAGCGATGCCAGTACTATGCTTCGTATTGATGGTTCTCTCAGAGAGTCCGCTGCTACAATGCTCGTCAGTACTGCCCCCTCCTTTTTTAAATTCATTTCTATAACATTTGATTCTCCATTTCGCCGTTACTTTACTTGTCCATTCATTATTTTTTATTTGTTCGCTTTAGTTTTCTTTAATGAGAAAATCCCAATTTTAAATTCAAGATAAATTTTGAGTACCCTTAAATGTATGCATATGTTGAATTAAATTAGCTACTAGAACAAAAAAATGGCAACAAGGTAATGGCTCGTCCTAAGTTTGTTAAAACTAACTAACTGAAAAAAGGAAGGAAAATTATGCAAATGATGATGCCCTGTGCATTCTTGTTTAAAATGATGAGCGATTTAGGAAAATTATGCAAATAATGACAATTTCTTTTTTAAATTATGTGTTCGTTTTTTCTTCATTGGGAAAAGAATTGTTTCATTACCCGAGTGTGCTAGCACCAGTATTGTTGTCACTTTTCTATGCTGTTTTATACATTTTGTTTATTACAACTTTGAAGTGAAATTTTGCTGCGTATTAGGGACAAATTTTTGGAAACCATTTCCAAGGAGACATAATAAAGTCACAGAGAGCAGTCAAAGCAGACTTGTGAACCAAATATATGCTTTTGTGTCAATATATGCACGTTTTTGTATGTGTGTTGAATCCGATGTGGCTAAAAGCTCAAGGTGCAGAGCGTATATGCATGTTTGGAGTTAATTGAGGCACACGCATTTTATATATAAAATTATTTTCTTTAGAAGATATGTAGCTCGTAGTAAAATTAAAAGATAAAAACCATAACAATAATACTTATTTCGCCACAAGCTGGTATTAAGAATCCATTGTCATTTATTATAAACAATTGGAAGCATTCAAAAAGAAAAGAAAAATGTTAAATTATTTATGATCTAAATTATGAACATATTCTTGAAAATTATTCTCAATGTTAATCATAAATCTCTTTCTTCTTAAAGAGAGGTTAGTTCGTTTACCATGGGAAATTACTGTGCATATAATTTATCTTACGGTGATGAATTTTCACAATTTGATTTGAGCTTTTCTTAGAAGACAACCTTAGGTCTCGTTTGGTGGTTTGTTAAGCTGATTTCAAATTGCTTCCTAGCTCCTGCATGCAGTTTAGTAAGGGTTTGATTTTGCTTTTTAAAAATATTTTAAAGTTAAGAAGTAAAGAGGCTCAAAGCTCACCAGTGGTGATTTCACAAGGACAGGATGTGTGAATAGGATATAATCTCAATCAACTCTTTTGTATGAACGAAGGTTACCTTTTATTTCCTAAAGCATAGCAAAACACATTATACTTTGTTCTAGAAGCTTTTTTGAAACTATGTCTACTTAAACATCAGAAACTCCTTTCAACAACCTCTTCTAAGTTCAGAGCTTTTACTTTTGTAGAAGCCACTGTACTAGCAAATGGACCCTTGGAATTTTTTAATTTACATAAATATTATTGCAATCGAACATTTAGGCTCTATTAATTGGATCGATCTTGGAAAGTGCAGTCCCCTTTCTGTGTTATCATGGCGGAGTGTGATTTCCCTTGCTGACACACAAACACGCACAGACATTCTTTCATTGTTGCATCATGATGTTTGGTTGCAAACCTGAGAAAGTTTATAGTTTTTCGGGGCAATGACCTCTTTTTTTGTTCTGTATGTCTCTTATCTCATGCATGAATGTGTATTAATTAGGATCCTGGACTTACAGTTTCCCCTTCCCTTTCTATTTCGGCAGCAAATCCATGCTGTCATTACGTCACTCAATTATAGTGGAATTGAGATCAGGACAGCACATGCCCTAGAGTCTTGGAATGGAGGTGTTCTTGTGATGGTTTCTGGTTCTGTGCAAGTAAAAGACTTTGATAATAAGAGGAAATTTGTAGAGACATTTTTCCTTGCCCCTCAGGAGAAAGGCTATTTTGTTCTTAATGATGTTTTTCACTTCATTGATGAACAACCAACTCACCATCATCCAGCTGTTGTATTAGCCCAGAGCCATCTTGATTCCAAACTCAATGCTGCTAGTGCCATTCCAGAGCCAGGTATTGTGAATTAGCCTGAACTATCTTTAAGTTGTAATACTAGATTTTGTTCACATTGCTTTGTTATTCAACATAGACGGGGAGGAAGTAAGTTACTGATGTTATCATTGTTCTTTGATGGAATCTGTGTGATTGACATTCAAGTTTTAAACAATAGAGTAATGGTAAGTGTACAGCTGCTGGATGTAATGCTTACTTTAAGGTCAGGAGTTGTGAAGCTATGACTGGAATGTAATTATGCTACCAAATATCTGAGTTAAAATCGAGTGTGGCCCAAAGTCAATTTGACCAGATACAGAAAATCATTTGTTTTTTATCTACTACTTTACAGTTCCTACCTATTTGATGGGCAGAGAAATCCAGGCTAGGGAGTTTGTGGCCCCTGCTGATGCCAAAGAAAATGGTCCTGTTGATGGCTATACTTTCCCAGAGCAAAGTTTGCAGCAAGCATCTGAATCTGAAAACATTCTGCAGAAAAATTCTGTGGAAGAGCCAAATGGTTCACTTCAAAATACAGCAAGTACTGCACAGGACTACCAGCCTGCCTCTGTTGAGGAGCCTGCTGGCGAGCCCCTAAAACACACATATGCTTCTATTGTATGTACCGTACATGGTAGTTATGTAAATTCCATACATAGCACATATCTGCAAAAAATATGTATTTGTAATATTTGAGGAACCTGATTTTTCTTCTTCCTTTTTCCTAAATTGTATTGAAAGTTACGGGTTGCTAAGGGTCAATCTGCAACATCAGTGACTCCCCAGCCATCTGTCAATAAGAATGTACCAACTACTTCAGAATGGAATCACCCTCCACAGCCCACTGTTCATCAATCAACTATGATGTCAAATTCATTTGAAAGGTCAGAGGCAGAGACAGTTGATGAGATTTATGAAGGTTATATTTTAGCTCTGCCTTTAAATTTCATCGCTATGATACAGTGATTGATGTTTCCAATAAATCATGCCACTTTCAACATCTATAACAATTTGATTGAATTGATTACGACTTTGGGTTTTTTTTCCCCCTTAATTAGACCTGCACAAGTATTTTTTACTTTAGTTTTGGAACTTCAAAGCTACTTTTTTAATTTCTGGAGCTTTCAAACTGATCCTTCATTTTATTTATTTATTTATTTTTTTGTGTGGGGTTGGGGGGTGGGGGTGTGAATCAATTTCAGATGAAATAAGGTCTATATATGTGAGAAACTTGCTGCCTACCACATCAGAAGCTGAGATTGAGGAGGAATTCAAGAATTTTGGTGAAATTGTGCCTGATGGAGTAGTCATTCGAAGTCGCAAGGTTAATTCCACAAATCTGCTGTGGCTTTATATTCCTGCTTTTCTTCCTTTCTATTGTGCTGAGAGGTTTATTCTTTTTTCCATGCAGGATGTCGGTGTATGTTATGCATTTGTTGAATTTGAAGACATGGCTGGTGTTCATAATGCCGTCAAGGTCCAAATAAGCTTAAATAACCTTCAAATCAGCTTTTTTATCATGCCTTGCTTTTCATCACGAGTTACTCTTTCCTGTCGTTTCAGTTTGTAATCAAGAACTTTTACTGATTAAATTTGTTCCTTCCAATTGTGAAGGATGTGTAACATCCACGATTTCTCTTTAAAAGAAAAATCCAAAGTACATTTTGGAGTCTCAGATGAAATTTGAACACTTTTGAGGCATTTGATGCTTTTTCTACCAAGCTTTACTGCAACTTCAAATCCTGATTTTTTTTTTAACTTTCTGATTCAACATCGGAAAATTTTCTTCTGCTGATCATTTTCTTCATGGTGGGGAGGCTGATTTTTAGTGAACGAATTTGCCAATTCATGTGTTTTTTTTTCTCCCTACCTGTTAGATTCTTGGGTGCTTGCTTTTGTTCATTTTTTCACCTTGTAATGTCTTTTTTTAATTCTGGTTATAATATTAATGTGCTAATATCTAAGTAACTTAAGAGCATGTAGCTCTTTCTCTGGGTGCTTGCTTTTGTTTGAAAAGCCTTTGATGCTGCTTCCCAACATGGCTGCTCTACATTACCGCAATCACATTGTTTCACCTTGTAATGTCTTTTTAATTCTGGCTATGACATTAATATGCCAATACCAAAGTAACTTAAAAAGCACATAGTTCTTTTTTGGTAATGTAGTAAATCATCCTTATATGTTGTTATATATTTATAGGCGGGTAGTGCAATTGTTGGTGGACGGCAAGTATACATTGAAGAACGAAGACCAAACAGCAACATCCCATTTCGAGCAGGAAGTATGTACTTCCCATGCCACTATCACTAACACTAGTATTTTGTTCCCTATTCACTTGCTATTAGTTAATTTCTGCATCAAAATTAGATTTGCATGATTTGATTTTATATAAATTTAAATAAGTACCTGGGAGATTTTCCATGACTTTGTTTATGCCTAAGTCCTCATTTTGACCTGTCCCTATTTTTTGGCCATCATTTCTTATTACTGTTTTCCTTTCTATTTATCATATTGATAACAAAAGGTTGGTATTGATGTTTACCATAAAACTTTATTCCTTGTTTCTCCCTCTGTCTTTCCTTTTGTAAGCATTGTGACAGAAATGTCTTGATGGCGATGAACACCTAATCTTCCAAGTACACCTGCAGAACAAATGATAACATCAACACTGGTATCACCATTATATCAACAGTGTTTGGTGTAGGACATTTTCTCTCTTTTTATGCTTTTAGGACAAACATTGTTGGAATGTTGAAGTAATACAATACATCGGGTTCTCTATTGACCTAGCTATCTTGAATGGTATTGGTTCTTTATTGTAATTTTGTTGTGATTGAAATGTTCCAAACAGGAGGGAGGGGTAGAGGCAGGGGTGGCTACCCAACAGATGTTCCAAGGGGACGTTTTAGCTCTCGGAGTTTTGGTAGGGGAGGTAGCTATGATGGAGGTGACAAGGACTACAACAGACCAAGAGGAAATGGTTATTATAGGCCTGGTCCTCGCCAAGATAGAGGGTTCTCAGGTCACCAAGTATCAAATCAATCAGATTAGAAGGTTTAGTTTCCCTAACAAAGAGAGTGCTAAAAGTTTTTGATCTAGTAGTTGCAAGTCAGTCGCATTGGCCTTTGTTAGTTTAAAGAAGGATATAATTTTCAGGCAGATTGATTTAGATGTTGCGCACATGAAGCACTCTTCTGGGTTTTCTTGATGCTTCTTGTTACTAGTGAACATTCATTGTTATAGGCAATATGTTTGCAATTTTTAGATAATTTGTTTGATGTGAAATCGAGCACCTCTGGTTGATGAAGGTTCTTGAGTTGGATCTATTTGTTTATTCAGTTTGATCCACGGAAAAGGACAGAGGAAGAAGATGAACAAAGAAAAGAGAGAGAGAGAGAGAGAATGAGAGGAGAGATAAGAGTCAAAATTTGTTATAACTGTATATTGTTTTCATTCTCCGTTATGTTCGTTCTTTATGCTAACTAGTTTTTTAATCCACATTACGTTACGATTTGGATAAATTATATAAAATCATTTAGAAAAATCATTTTAGTTTGATAGTTTGTTTTATAGTATGAATTTATAAAAATATATGAAATAGAAGGTGAAAAAATTATTTAATAAAAATTTTTATATTTAATTATTTTATATTTTTATTTATTCATAATTTTTCTTTTAGAAAAAGGATTTATCCTTCTTAATTCATAGATTATCAACTAAAAAGAAAATTAAATAATTTTTTTAGAAAAAGCTTTTATATTTCATAAGATTGTGTCGAAAATTATAGATAATAATTATTAAAAGCTTATATAGAATTGAACAAATTATTATTATTTATTTAATATTGATAAGAATATCAGTTTTAAAAAAATATGAATTTAATTTTTATATATTTATTTATAAAATAAATAAATAATATTAAAATAAAAAACTATATTAATTTGAATTATTGGGTGGTTAAATCAAAACATAATTTTAATTATTTAATTTAAAATAAGTTAATTTTAAAATATTCAAAAATCAATAAATAAATAATAAATGTTTAGTATAGTAGTAGTTGCATAGTTAATTTTTAAAAAAAATGATTCAATATTTTTTTATACATCATAATTATACTACGTGAGTTTAGAGTTTTCGAGTTTAAAACACAAAATACTATATATATATAAAAAATTAACTTTTAAGAAATCTATTAACTAAATTTAAAGTTAATAGATTAAAATAAAAATTAGTACGAATTTGATTTCAATTAATTTTGATTATAGAAAGAAGAAAAAAATTAATAAACATGTGAATTCTTTTTCTTTCTTTTTTCCTCCTTAAATATTTTTTGATTTCTACGCTATGCATGGCTAGTCGTTGAATATAAACCTCAAGCGCGAGTAACCATCTTTTTATTTTTAACATTTGACATTCAACTATTAATTAATTAATTTGAATTTTTTTTCTAAAAAAAGTCGAGAAAAAATTATTTGAAATACATTTTTTATCTAACAATATATTTTAGATAAATTATATATATTAATCATGCCATTATAATTTCAAAGTTATCTCGAATCTAAGAAAAATAATCATGTTCTAAAAATTTATTCCAAAATCCATACATATAAAAAAATAAATCAAAACTATCAATAAATATAATTTTAAATTAATTAGATGAGAATTAAAAAAAAATAACAAATTAAAGTAGTAAATTTAAATAATAAAAATAATTAACAAAAAACACTAAAACAAAATGGGACCAAATCGAATATAATCAAAGTTTGAAATTGAAAAGAAAAAAAAAGAGGATTTAAAAAAATGACAAATCAATGTAGTAAATTTTAAATAATATAAAAAATTAAGAAAAAAATTATTTGAAATACATTTTTAATAAAAAAATGCATATCGGAAAAATTATATATATTAATCATGTCATTATAATTTAAAAATTATCTAAATCTATTTTTCAAAAGAAAAATTAATCATGTACTAAAAATTTATTCCAAAATCCATACATATAAAAAAATAAATCAAAATTGTCAGGTAAATATAATTTTAAATTAATTGGATGAAAAATTTTAAAAAAATGATAAATTAAAGTAATAAATTTTAAATAATAAAAAAGATTAATAAAAAACCCTAAAACAAAATGAGATCAAATCATAATACAATTAAAGTTTGAAATTAAAAAAAAAAGTATATAAAATTTAGGACTAAAGTGTTACAAAATGACATGAATAGTAAAAGGAATAGTGATTTATGAGTGTGTGAATAGTAATTTATGAGTGTATGAATAGTTTCTCAAATAGTGAGTGAATAGTAAATAATGGTTTTCTTTTAGTTATATTGATAATGATAAAACAAACTATTAAGGGGTCTGTCACAATTAAGCCAAATAACTAAGTTCAAGTTACTAAGAGACCCTACCCTAAGCGCTACAACTAAGCCCAATAACTAAGTTCAAGTTATCGAAAGACTTTTGCCCAAGTATAATAACTCAGCTCGACGATGACAATTAACCTATAATATTCAGCTACTTGTAAGTTGCATTATCCACCATCCAATCAAGTTCCTTATCATTTTCATTTTGTTGTCTCTTTCTTTGTATTTCTTTGTTCTTTCCTCTTCTATGTCTTTTCAATCTTCAATATCCATTCCTTGTATCGGCCCCCTCCTCGTCTCTAAGTGAGAATCTTAGGGATTGTTTTTTAATGTCTTTTACAACTTCCTAAGTTGTTTTTGTTGTTGATAAGTAGCACCAATGGATTGACCACTGGACTACATCCCATAGTTTTAAATAGCGATCGCGGATGAAAAAATGGTCACGATCACGATCGTGGGTCGCGGCTCATCGTGGTCGTAAAATAACGATCGCGACAATTAATTATGTGAATACATTAGCAATCGGTAATAAAATTATTCTAATTCACAATTGCTCGACGGTTTTACTAATTAAACTTAATAATAAGTAATCATATCTCTAATATTTTAATAACATATAACAATAGTTAAATTTATTATAAAAAATAATTAATAACACTTTCAATAGATTAATATCATATAAAAATAATAAAATACATTATAATTTCAATATACACATTACAAAATATTCATCTCCAAAAAGATCATCGTGGAGGATCATAATAATAGTTATCATCTTGTTGTTGATGTTGTGATCCCGATTTATCAAAATTACAATCATAACTATATTGTCCTTCCAAACCCAATTGCCCAAATAATGAAGCGACAATAGATGATCCAATTTCTTGAGGATGTTGTAGATTTGAAATTGACTGGTCCGATGAAGTTCCATATGAATCATTAGATACATAACCATATACTTGTGGACCTTGTGGGTGGTAGTATTGTCCTGGACCATAATTGAAGTTATAAGTCAAACTATCTTCGGAGGAGACAAAGTGATGTCCTTGATCATGCAATATGGTACCACTAGATTGTTGTTGTTCTATTATTGGTGCTTTATTTCTAGCATCGGATTTAAGTGCAAGTGGAACCATGTAACCCACGCCTATATAGAATTGGATCGACACTCGCTATCAAAAGCTATTCCCTTTCCACGACCTCCATCATTGCTACTCGCTACTATTGTTGCTATGAAAAGCTCCCGGATCACTTGGTTCCTTATCTTGATCATCATTATCACCATTATCACTATCATGCGGATTAGTTTGATCATTAGAATTGTTATGATCGTTCTTGTCATCACCATCGTCATTATCGCTATCATCATCATGCACATGCAACCAATCCATATTTTGTCCATCGAGGATCTGGTTGTTCATTTTCCTCTAACCAAGGAGACAGTGGATCATCTTCATAAAACATGTAATCCAAATTGATTGGATTAAAACTTTCTCTTAATTCTTTCGACTCTTCCGCAATGTATTTCTTAACCTCGACTTCATATTGTAATGAAGATAAACAAGTGTATGTAATTTTTGATACTTCAACCTATTTCTTATCTTCGTATGCACTAAGCTGAAAGTGCTCCAATTTCTCTCACAATTTGAAGCGAAGTTGTTTGACTCAAAATCGCATTGCAATCTTTCTAAGCACTAGAGCATCATTTCCATAACTATTCCACCACTCAGCTACATTGAACAAATAAAATTTCATAAATTTTTAAAAAATAACACCAATAATGTTTACAATATTAAATTTTATAAATTAATAAAGTACCTGGATTTGTTGAATACATAGCCTTCCGAGCTATGGTTAAACCAAATGTTTGTTGTTTCAAACTACACAATTCCAACTCGCATATTTAAATTAAAAAATATTTTAATAAATTATAATATATATCATATGATATTAAATATTTTTAGCATCTTATGTTATCACAATTCACAAAATTATTTAACTTACTTCATTGATGGCTTTGATTTGCTTATCAATGTCGGGTTCCAATCTCATAATTGCATTTCGACACCTTGCATGATTTTTTCATCTTGATAAATTGGACTCTCTCGGAGTACATAATGATATTAGGGATTCAAAAAATAACCTACAAAAAAAGAGTAAATAACATCACTTCTAAATTATATTTAAGTATAAATAATAATTGAAGATATCTTTATATTGTTATGATTAATTTATATAAATTTATATACTTACTAACTGCATGTAAGTCCGTATGTAATTGAAATTCCCATCTTTTATCAATTACGTCGCACCATGTTTTTGAATATCGACAACTTGCTTGGATTTTTGACTTTGTTCTTTGCATTGCTTCATAGATAAACCCCATGGTCGGTTTGTCATCACCATCCACAAATTTCAAAACCTTTACAATTGGCTCCTCAATGGCTATCACTTCACCCGCATTCTTCTAGAATCTTATTACTTGTGGATCTTCTTGTAGCACTAATATGCGAACGTCGATAGCAAGTTGATCCTTCATCCTCCCATATCTAGAATTATTCCAAGCTTCGACTCCCACATCTTCTCGAGTGCATTCTTAAACTTAACAATGCTTTCCAAAGCAACAAAATTGGTGGCAAATCTAGTGATGCCGAGTCGAAGTAAGTCACACCCATTAGTAAATTTTTTCATATAATTAACTACCCAATTATAATTGTAAATAAATTGGGTAATTTTTTTTGCCTTCTCAAGCACTTCTTTGACCTTCGATTTTTTTCCAATGTCTTCTAAAGCTAGATCCAAACAATGAACAGAGCAAGTTGACCAATATAAGTGAGGACAAACTCGCATTAACTTTTTTCCCGTAGCTTTCATAGCGAGCTTTATTGTCGATCACTATCCGGACCACTCTATGTTCACCAACTTCATCCACCACTTTCTTCATCAACCCAAAATAATATTCAGCATCCTTTGTTAGCACATTTGATGCATCAACCGATTTGATGAACACCGTGTTTCGATTTGAATAAACCGAAAAATTGATGATGTGCATTTTAGTCGGTCTAAATCATCCATCACGCATGATTGTGACACCTCTCTCATTCCGGATATTTTCATAATCTTTGATGTACTTCTTCATATTTGTCATCTCTTCGTCAAATATACCTCCGAAAGATCATAAGCACTAGGAGATGGAATTTTGGAACCAACTTCAACGACAGCTTTAAGCATTGTTGAAAACCAAGGAGATTCCACAAGCATTGAATGGGATTCGCTCATGAACAAAAAAATGTCCAACTCGCTTCTTCTTAATGTTGCTTTCCCAATTTTATATAATCAAGAACTTATTGACTTTTGTTTTTTTTCCTTCTATAGTCTTTTATAAAACCACTTCATCTTCTTGCAACTTTTCCAATCGTTCCCTTAAAGTTGATTGTGGAGGAATTGATGGAACACCGCTATGTCGTCTTCTTGAACTAGCTCTTTCATGCAAACTTTGTGAACGACGCATGATAAGAGCTTGTTGATGTTGTCCTCTTCTAGAACTAGAACCACAACCCTTTTCATATAAATCTCCTCTCGCTTGCTCTATAATTGTCCATCTCGTATTGCATCATGCTCTCTTGTCTTGTATAAGACATGAGCTCTTCATCTTCATCATCACCGGCATCCCTTTGTTCTCGGATAAGAGAATCCATAATCTCATCCCGAAGTCGACTTTGTCCGATGACTTTATCTTGCTTCGTGACTTTGTAATCATTTAAGACTTTCATCATATCCTTTCTAACATCATTGTGAACACTTAAGCAACCAACAATATTTCCTTTCTTATGAGTTATATGCTCTTTGATGCGAGTGATTCCTCCTTTAATCACCCTTCCACAAGTACTTACATTGTAGCTTGTTTGTACTACCATCCAATGAAATAGCAAATTTCCATCCAATGTTTGCACTTGGAGGTAGTTGTTGTTTTATTCTTTCTTATCTATCTCACGGCATTTTTTAGCACCTATTATGTTAGGAAAATAAAATAAATAATGTAAGTAATTAACTTAAATATCATTAAAGTTTTAGAATTATGCAAGCTTAATGAAAATATTCACATTATTAAATTGCCCAATATATATATATAGACAAGTTAGACACACACACATATACATATGAGGAATATCAAGTCGTCACTCTTTATATAAACATCATCCACACACCTAACAAATAAAAATTCTCACCTTGGCAAAAACTCTATGCGCACAACCCACAACCATTAAAAAAACGTATAAGCTATAAAAAAAAACGCCAATATCTCAATTTTTTTTTATCAAAATTCTATTACAACTCTTTAAATAAGAAAAATAAAAATTCTAATAACACTAAATATGAAAAAAAAACAAAAATAGAATCTAATTACTAATTTTCTAATAACACGTTGTTGGAAAGATATGCATTGGAAAGTTATTTAGATTTGTAAGCATGATGATTTATACATAAAAATAGACATTATCTTACTCTAAAATCTAAAATAATAAATTATGGATCGATTTTATATATAAACATCTTGCTTTTCTTAATTTTATTTTTAATATGAGATATTTACCACTCTAAAGTACACTCGAATACTTAACAACAATAATAATAATACACCGCACAAAGTCACATGTATGCCTAGGGATACTATATAATATCCCGCACACATTTTCAAACTCCAATAGATTTAACATAGGTGTTTTTACTACACAATCTAAAATACATTTTTTTTAAAAATGATTTATGATTTTTAAGGATGCATTTTCTAGATTTATTTAAAAAATGAATTTTAAAAAATACAAACGACAACGTTGGAACTCCAAAATTATAAGAAGAAGGAAAAAAAATATTCTTCACTACCATGTCTATTCCTTATCAAAAATATTTTCCAATCAATATATATTCGATCCAATCAATATATATTCGATCCAACCAAAGTGGTGCTAAATTTAAAGAAAAATCTATAAAACCCAATAACTAAAATGACCGGTAACATGTTTATTGATATAAATAAAGCGAGAAAAATAGAGATTTATGTAGAGAGGAAATACAAGTACATACGTGTGCTTCCAAGCTTTCAATCCAAAAGTAGAAAAATTTAAGAATCCGCAATATCCATTTTTCCCCGCAAAAACCACTCGGAAAAAAGCCCATATGAAGTCGATTGGAAAGTAGTCAAAGTACTTTGCAAACCCATGTCTTGTTTCCAGCAATAACAACTTAATCATATAAAATTAATGATGAATTTTTTCATAAATTTACATAAAAAATAAATAAAATTAACTTAAATAAAAAATTACCTTTATAAATTTTTCACTTTCGGAACAAATTAATAATTGAAAGTGGTCGGTACTTGAAACTTAAGAAGTTAAAAGAGGTTTGTTCACAATTGAATTTAAGTATTTAAAATTGAAGATTTGGTTTTTTAGGTTGAGGCATAAGGGATTGAAATTGATTTACGAATAAATGGATAGTATAAACACTTAAGAAAGTGTAACGACTTAAGAAGTGAGCATCCGAAGTCCGAAGAGTGAACACTCGAACAGAATTTAAAGAAATAAATTTACGAATGAATGTTATCGATATTGCTCCGTAATAATTGAATTTGTATAATTTATCCGTTAAATTCAAAGGCTGCAGTTGCAGACCTTTGAATTTAAAAGCTCTACTTGTAGCAAAGCTTAGGCTTGTAGACTGCAGAGCCCACTTTAAAAATGCCAAATGCAAAGGCTGGTGGGTACGACCTTTGAATTTGGTGAGAATCTTGAAAGAGTAAGTTATATATTAATCCCTTTAGTTTTTATAAATTTAATTAATTAGTCCCTCTAGTTTAATAAATAAATTAATTAGTCCTTAATGTTTTAAAATTAATTATATAAGATTTTAATTAGTATTGATGTTTTTAATATAATATATTTATTTCATAATTATTTTTTCATCAACTTTTTTATGGTATGAGTTTTTTCTATTTTTAAAATAAAAAATAAATAAATTAGATGATAATATAAAATGCATAAAAATAACTAAATTATTGATTTATGAAATAAAAAGAATCAACTAATTTTTTTCTTTAAATAAAAGGACTTATTTTTAATTTATTTGAATTAGTAAATATTTTGATTCTCTAAACTTTTTATTCTCTAAAAATTAATCACATAACAAGTAAATTTTTTTTATTGATATTTTGTGCTCGTCCAATAGTCATTTCACAAAAATCAAGATAGATACAATTTTTCTTTACATTGTCTTCTTGCTCAAAATTCAAGTTAAAGGCCTACAGCCTACAACCTTTTCACAATTTCACATTTGTCACGGACTCATAGTATGAAAATTTTTTTGAAGAACAACTGGATCTGCACTGCCAGACCTACTGTAAAAATTACAAATAAGATTCTTTTTATTAGATAATGCAAGCTTGTAGAGAGAAAGCAAAGGATGGCAAAAAAGTCACTCCTTAGTCCTTTTCATTGGTACCCATGGGAGAAAGAAAGTATAAGAAGACAAAACAATGTCCAAGTAAGCATTTCTTTCATTAGATAATGTAGGAAGAAAGCAAAAGAAGGCAAAAAAGTCCCTTCTTTTCATTAGTGCCTACGGACAAAAGAAAGCATAAAAAAGTCCTGCTGCATTTCAAGCCTTTGTTTCAGTAGCTTAAATATATACATAATGCCATTATATAACGACTAATAATGACGTTATGTAACGATAACGTCGTTATCGGTCGTTATAGGTGTGAAACGACGTTGAGGTCTTTATAACGCCAAAAAATGGTAACGGTTTGCTCCGTTACCGTTATATAACGACCGTTACGCGACGTAACGGTCGTTTTTTAAAACCATGCTACATCCGGCTTGCCTCTCGATGATCCATGTATTCATGGCAGCTAGAGGTTGAGGTGGGAAATTGGCTTGCAATTCAAGTAATTGTTTAAGGGCGAGTGTGAGATTTAATGGATTTCTTAAAGAGCGAAACATGAAATACTTGGTGAATGGAACCAATGAGAGGTAACTCGCAAATGGTGAGCAACCCTTTAAACTTTGTCTTCTATCTTGAAAGGGCCATAATACTTAGTCGAGAGTTTGTGAAAATTTTGTTTAACCATCGAATGTTGCTTATATGGTTATAGTTTGTGAAAATTTCATCTTCTATCTTGAAAGGTACACCCAGTCTCTTATCTCAAATTGGCAATCTGTTTGGTGCTTGTAAGAGATCCGCACCATACGATTTTGTGCCCTTTAGAGGTTTTGTTTCGAAGTTGGAACGTGGCTTTTCTCACGAGTAAGGTAGGAGTCTATCGATTCTATTGGAGAGTCCCTCGGGAAGTAGTGTAAATGGATAGAGGGTGAAAATCCATAGAGGACCTCGAAGGGTGTTAGTTTAATAGATGAGGGAAAGTTGGTGTTACACCACCATTCAACCAACGAAAGCCACTTAGACTATTCCATACGGGTGTCTCTAGCCATACATCTTAGATAGGTCTCCAAACAATGATTGAATACCTCGGTCCGTCCATTAGATTGAGAGTGATAGGCTATAAAATGGCATAAGTAAACTCCTTAGAGAGAGAACAACTCATTCCAAAAGTTATTGAGAAATACGGGATCCCCGTCACTCGGCAATTAATGCTAGTAGACCATGGACCTTGAATATGTTATCTAGGAATAACTATGCCATTATTTGAGATACATATTGGTGGGGAAGGTTCATAAAATGGGTATACTTACTAAGTCAATCCACCACTACAAAACCCACTCGGTTTCCCTTTAGACTTGGGTAACCTTTTAATGAAGTCCATAAAGATGTCGGTAAACACAACCTTAGGTAATGGTTGTAGCAAACCAAGAGTAACCACCAATTCAGGTTTATTTACCTAACAAATTGGGTCATTTATTATATATTGCCTAATATCCTTCTATTGTCCCTTAAAAAAAAACTCCAAGTTTCTTAGTCGTTACATTCATACTAGAATGACCCCTAGTAAAGTGTCATGAAACAAGCCTAGAATCTTTGCCTTTAATTGACCATCTTGGCCCACTATTAGTTTTTCTTTCCTTTTCGAAGCCTATGTTTCCATGTATAGCTAGAATGAGTAGTAAGGTAATATGGTCCCTTACCAAATCTATTAAAAGTTTCTAAGAACCCTTAATCCTTTGAAGTAAATCGGATGATAGAGTAGAAACAACCATTGAAAAACCTATGCACCGTGTACTCTAGATAGGGTTTTAGTTACCACTTTATCTTTCCCTTCTTGTATAAGATTTCATAATCAAACCCTAAGAGTTTGGCCAACCAATTTCTATTCTAGTAGATATTTTAAGCTGTGATGGTCAATCTTGATTTTAAAATTTTTAGAATCTAAATAGTGTTTTCATTGTTTTACGGTATGCAAAATTGTAGCATTTCCCTCTTATAAGCTAATAGAGCCTTACTAATGTAAGTAATAGGGGTATCCTTGTTAAATTAGAATTGCCCCAATACTAGTGTTGGATGTATCGATCTTAATTGTGAATTCTTTGGCGAGGTTTAATAGAGCAACTACCGATGCGAAGTCATCTTCTTAAAAGTATGAAAGGCCTTGGTTGCTTGGTCGATCCACTTGAAGTTGTCCTTCCGTAATAAAATTGTTAGAGGTTTGCTTAAGGACTCATACCCCTTGATAAACCTCATGTAGTATCCTGTTATACCCAAGAACCCTCTTAGCTCTTCAAATTCTAAGGAGTAGGCCAACCCATTACTGCTTGCATTTTTTTTAAGTCGATAGAGACCCCTTATGCTAAGATGTAGTGCCTCAAGTACTTAATTCTTTTACTAACAAAAACACATTTGCTTAATTTAGCAAATAACTTGTGGGATTAAGTCGATAGCCTCCATGAACAGTCATTCATTTTACTTGACTCGGGACTATTAGAAAAGAAAAAGGACTAACACTATGTTAAATAACACTTGTGGCCGTCATTTCATCAACTAACTACTCTGCTACATCTTTTTTATATTCTTGAATACCTATATGGTTTTTTGCTGAAAGTTTGGCTTCTTCTGAGCATGTATCCTGTGATCATGAGATATGGTGGGTGGTAGTGACTTGAGTTTAGAGAAGACAACCTAGAACTCCTAAAGAAGGTTAACGATGGTCGGATAGATAGAGGATTGTTGTTGATAGGTAATAACTGCTACTCTATTTTCTTCGTTGGTGCATTAGGTTCATGTATAGCTATGTCTGCAGAGATGTATTCGTGCCATTTGAGGTCGGGTTCTTCGATAGTTTTTGCATTTGTAAACTAGTAATTGTTTTCATCCTCACATCGAATGCATGATCAATTTAATTTCCTTACATTTCCATATAAACCTCATCCACATTTATTGGTAATTAGAAACAATTTTTCCAAGTTGAGATAACCATTGCAAACCTAATGCCATATCACTATAATAAAGCTCCATTACTAATACATCGACCTTGGATTAAGTCCCCGGCTGACCTATTGGAACCCTTCGCAAGTCGTTGTACATAGCATAGTTCTACTATTAGTCACTTCTACAATTAGAGGCTTAATAGGGGATAGTCCACGACTTAGCTTCCTTGCTTGTGACTAGATTAAGGAAGTTGTGAATGAACCCAAATCCATTAAGATGTGTAAAGGTTTGTTACTTATGTGGCTCATGATCCTCAAAGTTTTAAACCCATTTTAGCCTTCCAAGACATTGACAGAGATATGAGGAAGGAGGTCATCATGAGGCTCCTCATTAGTTTGTTGTCCATCTACTTCATCTTCATTTACAATCCGAATAGAAAAAAATATTTTTGCTTGCATCTATATTCAAGAGCATAGGTTTCATCTCATCGAAACACTAGTTCTTATCCCTTTTTTTCACCAAATTCCTTGCTTATTTAGGGTTTTAGATTTATACGATTTTTTGTTTTGTTAATTTGGATGTAGAAGGTTTTGAGTTAAGTGTATATGATATTGTGCTACATGGTGGCTTAATAGTATGGTTGAACTTGGTGAATGGGGCTTGTGGTATTCTAGTTGTGTATGTTAGTAGGGTTTTGGGATGGTTTTTCTTGAGATAGGTATTGATATTGACTTTTTTTTTCTAGCTAGATTGTAGGCTTTGGTGAGGTTTTGTGGTTTAAACATTAAAACTAGACCTTGAATATCTTTTTTAGCCTAGCTAAAAACATGCTCAATACTTGTTATTCATTGATAGCAACTCTATTTCACAAGATATCAAATTCATATATGTATGTTTCTAGATCAGATTTTTGTGTGAGGTTATTAAGTCGAGTCTAACTTTACACCAAACCTGCTTGGTCATTACAAATACATACTCATTCCAAGACAGACTTCCTTCCTAAGCTTTGAGTGTAGGCTTGTCGTCAATATAATGCCTTGCCATCCAAGAAGAAAGAGTCGTATTAAACCTTTTTAAACTTATCCATTGACTCAATCTCAAAGAACTGATTACACTTAAATAACCATTTGTTGATATCTTCCCCTTTAAAAACTAGAAAATCCCTCTTGGGCTTTTTGGGTTTACAATAGTAGATGGTATCTTGATCCGAGTTATTAGGTTTGTAGTGTTGATTTTAGTGGAGATGAATGTAGCATATGTGTAATGGGTGTAGGTAATAAAAGCTTTATGGGTATGGGTATAGATGGGTGCACTTACAATTACATGCATTTTTACTTGCAACTATGTACATGTATACATGTATATGAGCAACACCATTATCCCTTTCGTGATTCGGTTTGATTGAATATTAGCCTAACTATCCCCTCAAGTCTTTGCTAATCTATGAATATTCCTAAAAAAATCTTCAAGCGTTGAATAAGTGGATTTCTTTAACTAATTTTAAAGTTTATATGATTCATTGATACGTACGTTTATAAACTCTTGAATTAGTTTTTGATAGAATTCAAATGAAATAAAATTACACAAAAATTCATTTGTTTACGATGTTTTGATGTTCATTGAGTTAGCCTCTTACACACAAAGATGGGCTCAAAAATATTTTTTTAGTGTTATGTTCATTTTTAAAAAATATTTTATAAATCATGCATGACATATTAATAAATTATAAATCATTATTTTTTGTATATTATTATTATCGGTAAGTTTCAATTCATTACTAATTTTGATATTTTATATGCATTTTGAAAATTTATTTCCTTAAATTCAAATAATAATAATAATTAATTGACTTAACTTACATGCTAGATCCTAGTCTTTTGAAAAACATTTAATGTTCAATATTATGGCATTTTTTCTTTTCTTTTTTTTAAGGCAATTTATTTCTAGGTCAAAAATGAGTCATGAATAATTTTGTAACGTTTTCCTAAAAAATAAATTTGAAAAGATTTTTTTAAAAAAAAATTAAGGACAAAAACACAAAATGACCTGGGCTCTTGGACCTAGCATGCTGCGTCCCCACCCCTGGGCTAAGAGAGCCCAGCCCAAATCGACATCGTTCCAACAGAAAAATCACTTTCTTTGCACTTTAAATCAAACAACATCGTTCCAACAGAAAATAATTGTTTATTAACCAAACATTGCTAAAAAGTTACTATCCATAAAAGCTCGCACATGGCAGTCCTCTTTCAATTTTCACCCCTAAATAGTTCTTGCCGTACCCAAAGGGTGGATTGCCCCCAAAAAAAGCTAGGTGTTGGAATTTGAGGAACATGGCGAGACTAGTTGTCCCAGAAGTAACTTGATCATGCATTCCACAAAAACGGCCTCACTTTCCCACAATGATAAGCCTTGGGTATATTTCTTCTTTTTTTTTTTTTTTCAGGATTGACTTTCTGGGCAACTTTTCATCCTGCCATTTTACATTCAGGGATGAGACATTTAACTTGCGCGTTTTAAAAGGGTCTTGTCCGTATAAGGTGCTTTTATTCCGCCAATTGTTTTAATTGAATTTTTTTTGTATGAATTAACTCTTTCTGTTTGTAATTTTGTGTTATTTCCATTCTTATATTATAAGGTCATTAGTTGTGAACTAACGTAACACGTCTATTCTATAAAACATGACGATACGTGTTATACATAAATTCTAATAAAAAATATCAATCAAAACAATTTAAAAAAATATGAAATTTCAACCAAAACAATTCAAAGGATAAAAAAATCAAATTATTATTATTATTATCATTAATTTTCATGTTATTGTGTTTTTTGAATCCTATATTGAATGTTGCAAAACATTTCATACATGGGATTCCATTATAATAAAAATGAAGTATTTTTTTAAATATTATTATAATGATTTAAAAATAATAAATTTATTACAAAATAAACTTAAACATGCAATTAAAAAAAAGAGAGAATAAAAATATATTCATCAAAATTAAAATAAAAACAATAATCATGTTCATTGGTATCTAATATCTATATCAAAAAAGCTATATATATATATATATATATATCATTTGAAATAATCAAATATTCAAAATTTCTTACTATTTATGGAGGATTAAACCCATTCACTAAGACTCTATGAGTGATGAGTAGTGCACATCATTATATTTATATTTTAATAATTGCATGTTAAGTTTTTATTATGTATTATTTTATTATTTTTAATTTATTGTAACAATTTAAAAAAAATCAATTTCTTACTATGATAATGCCTCACATATGAACATTTCATACATTTATTATGTTTTTTTAAAATTAAACTTAAAAAATAATAATAATTTGATTTTTTGTATTTTTTAAATTGTTTTGTTTGAGTCTTTTCATTAGAATCCCATGTATAAAACATGTGATGTTTTCAAGAATGTTAGCATTACGTCATGTCTAAGGATATCATAAGTAAGGAATGAAGACAAAACAAAAACAGAGTAGATTGACACAATCAACATGAAAAATAATGCAAAATCTCAATCAAAGCAATTCAAACATCACGTCAGCTTATAAGCTTATAACTAATGGAATTATAACAAAAAAAATAAAAACAAAACAAAACAAAAGTCATAAGAACTCAATAAACAACAACAACAAAAGTATGATGCTTCAATCAAAACAAATTGAAAACTAAAAAGAACATATATGGAAAAACCTATTTGAAAAATAGAGATATATGGAAAAGACCTCATTTTATAAGACCCGTAGATGCTATGGAGATGTGGTTCTAGACTACTGGGAACTCAGTAAAGCAAATGGAAAAATCATCAAAAGATGTTAATTTGGCAACAAGTTCCTCAATCTTAATAGCATTATTTTAGTTTATTCAGTTGGAGCTTCTATCTTAATGACATTCCTATTGTTTTGCTCCTGATAAAGTACTAGTAACTATACTCTAGGTCTAGTATTTATGATGGACTTAAGCATTGGCAGCTGCTATAGCACCTCCATGGTGATTGGGCATCTGAAATTGACTTGTGCTATCTTCATCATTTTCTTCTGTTTCCCATAGGAAACTAGCATATGCTGCGAGAACATGGCTGAAAAGAAAGAAGGAAACATCAAGCAAAGAGCCACTCAATCCTAGAAGGTTTAATTTGGCTGCTACTCTTATTAAACAATCAATTATCTCTATCATACAAATCATCAGACTAATAAAATTCACTCGCCGAACAGAATTTGCTACAGGGAAAAGAATGGCTGGAAAACATGTATTAACCTCCAAACTAGACTCCTTGATACCATCTTTCTTTTCATTTCTTAAGGACACACTTGCAGAGAATAGTAGAAAAAAGAAACAGGACATCCAGCATCAACATTGTACATTTTCTGCTGTAAGACTGAAGACCTTGGAACTCTGAAGGACCATCTTGTAAACTCATAAAGAATATCGAAAACCCTTTACATTCTAAAGGATGGAGAAAGGGATGTACCTGTCCTTAGGAGTTGCTTGAACTGCTTGCTCAAAGTAACACAAGGCTTTATCATGGTTACCATAACTTTCCCACACCAATTTTGCATACTGTGACAGGATTTCACCATCACCAGGATCAGCTAGTATGGCTCGAGAGTAGTATTCCTCAGCGCCTTCAAGATCTCTCTTGGACTGTCAATCAAAAACAACTGTTACAGTCAAGAATGACAGAGGACCAACTCCAATCTAGAAGTCCACATGAAGAAGTAAACAAAAAAGTAAAAGAAGCAAAATATGCAATCCACTCTAGTCCACAACGTAGTTTGTTCCTACAGCACCTAACCTAGAATTTGCACTGTGATCTCTGCGCCATGTTGTGGCCTTTTTCAGTTTTGCACGTGACGCTATTCTAAATACAGAATATGTTTGCAAAATCATCCTAATCATCATCAAAGACTTGTATTTATGTTTCTGCACAAGAGATTACATAGACACAGCTTGGTTTTGAATACAAAATGCCTGCAATAGAAGACTTATATACATATCATCAAACATAAGTTTCTTAGATTTTGTTGGCACGTTGATTTACATATCTCACCATTTACAGCTTTTTCAGATTTTTATTTCCAGTCCTAAATTGTTGCATCCTTTTACAAAATGATTATCTTTACCACAATTCAAAATGTGCCACATCCGAAGCCATGTCTTCATTGCAACTAATGCAGCTGCATCCTTGCTTTACTTACTTGTTTATGAGACATATAATACATATTCTTCTGCATATTTGATTATTCTTTTCGATTAGTGTTTTCTAACAACCCAATTCATGATGAAGTGCAAGGACAGTAGAAGGACAACTCAATCCATCATGGGATTCAATGAATTTTACTAGTATAGCCTAAAGATGGGACTATGAATGTGTCTAAATTGCTAGAAGCACCAGAGTAACAAATGGATGCATTGAATGACTTTCTTTCTCTGACTCTCATGTTAGAGCTACATTTAGTGAATATCTCCTCCCTCAACCCAAGAATATATGTCTAAAGAAAAACAAATGGTCACTAACTCCTACTCTTAAATGGAACGTTCCAAATGACATATTGTGAGTTATGCATCTAGTTGCTCGCTTCCATTTTAGCATCGAAAAAGACCTATTCCTTAGATCATAAAATGGACTTTTCTCTTCAATGATCGTCTTGTATTTGTATGACATGGCCATGGAAAAGTCTCCTTTACCTAGGTTGGTTAAGTCCTTATCAAACTACTGGTCCTCAATTATACCTCTCCCGAAAAACAAAAAGAACCCTTCCTGACTTGTTTGAAATAGATTTTCACGCTAGCAAATATGCCTCCAAATATTCAAACTGTTAAAAAGAATCATTTAAAAAATATCTCATACAATGGTTTTGAAAGCATGCCATAAATCTCTTCTTTCACCACGCTTGACTTCTAGAGAATGAAGTTTGATAAAAATATATTCAGTTACGACAACAAAGCTCAAACATGAGTTATAGATTCAGCTTGTATTCTACTACAAGTATACTAATTGAATGAGCTTATGATTTAGTAAAGATTTCACCTGATACAGAAACTCAGCATAATTTCTTAGAACCAAAGAGTTGCAAGGATTTTCCTCAACTATCCTCCTATAATACTCCTCAGTATTACCACCCTTGTTGGCATCAGATGCAGCATAGTCTTCCATATCTATATGAAGCTCAGAGGGAAGCTACAATAGTTTGAAATCTTAGTTAGTGGCTAACCTGTCAAGCTTAGTTGGAATTCCCTCCTCTCCATTCCAACCTTCAACAATTTTAAAATGGCATTAAAACTATATGATAAAACATTCACAAATTTATGACCCAGAAGAGAAGTGACACCTGGATATATTCTGGTTGAGATGTATCCCATTCCCCATCACCTGCTATTTCCCAGAGAAAACTGGCATAAGCTGCAAGAACATGGCTGAAAACAAAGAGAGGAAAGTCTTGTTTATTCATCTCAAATACAATTCGGTTGCAATCATTTTCAAAGTCCATGCACGATATTTGTCTTGCATCACTGCAGCTGGAAGAGCTTTTGCACTTGAAATCATCAAATTGATGTCTAGGGTCCTTTTCAACTTAATCTAAAAACAATTTTCCTTTACATAATCTAAATCAACTTTCATTAAAAAAAAAAATAAATAAATATCAAAAATCAAAAACACACAAAATGCATCATTTAGTGCTTTTTTCAGCACAAAAGCACTTTGTAAAAGTACCTCCACCACAATACTAGACATGCTACTATTAAGGGGGTGTTAGATTTGCAACTCTTTACAGAGAAGCTAGATCAAAGCAAGTTCTTATTCACCTGTTTTGAGGGGCTGCCTGAACTGCACGTTCAAAGTTAATTAATGCTCTATCTTTGTCATGGTTCAGCTCCCATTGCAATTTCGCATACTGCATCAGAATTTCACCATCCACAGGATCTGCCAGTGTGGCGAGATGATAATATTCATCTGCTCCACGGAGGTCTCCCTTAGACTGTTAGAAAAAAGAGAAGTCTTACAATGAAAAAATCAATCATTTGCTTTTGACGTCGACAAAATATAAACATCCATTCTCAGAATTCTTTAGGAATTACAATTTGAAGAGCAATATTATCAATAGTATGCCTGTTTGAACACTATTCTTGCTATAATGAGAAACTATGTCAGAATGCTTTGTTTCCTTTATAGAAAAAATAGATGGGCATTCTTACCAGTTAAAAAGTAATTTCAATATTTGATTAATTGTTCTACCATTTAACGAACACACATCCAAAGGTATGCAAAAAGTTTAGAGTACAAAAATTACCAGAAGAAGTATAAGTAGGACCAGTTGAAAAAAAAAAAAAAACAGATAGCCAACTTACAATTACTCCGAAACCAACACAAAAGCACCAAGAAAAATTCATTTACTTGACATTCATACTATTAGGCTTGTGGCTTATATTCTTTAGATTAATAGCTAGTTAAATAAAGTAGAGTAATGACATGGAAGAGTGGAGTAGCCTCTAACCTTTGTAAACTTGATCCATTAAGGATTTCGAGAATTATAAATAGGTGAGTAGATGTGTGGTTTTAAGGTGTGCAAAACACAAGGTTTGTTTACTTTGGCTTTTTTTTTTTTTTTTTTTTTTGCTAAAAGGCCAAACCTCCCTTTAACTTATAGCTCATTTGAAAATCAATTCTTGAATTTTTAATCTGTATTTCGACTTTTTTTGTTCTTGTTTTATTTTTATTTAGTTCATCCTATGATATTCAGCTATGACCCCTCTCCTTTGAAAAAAATCAATTCTTGGTAATTTGATCAGAAAGTTTTGCACACACATTTTGAAAAATCCAATCTATTTTCTAGAAAAATTCCAGAATTTTCAAGATAAAAAATTATATTTGCTTATTTTTTGAACATTAAAAATGTATTAAATTATAAAAAATTGAAACTAATCCAAAATTATCTCAATTTTTTAGAAAGCTTTAGATAATCTCATTAAATGATTTTCATCATGGGACTATTTATGTAATTATAATTTTTTTAGGATAAATGACAAAAAAACTAAAGAATAGACTAAATCTCAAAAGAAATAAAATTTAGAGAGTTCAACACACAAATTAAAGTTCAAAAACTGATTTTCAAATAAACTAAGTCCTGGAAAGGTTTGGCCTTTTCAGCAGTTTTTTTTTTTTTTTTTTTTTTAGGATAAGAGTGGATGTACAAGGGGCTTTGAGATTGTATTTTTGGTATAAAAATTACAATCATATTCAATTTTGTTAAACCATGTTAGGGTTGAATCTTAAATCCTTAATTTTCAAACAAGCTGGTATTAGAGCTATGGTTTTGAGAGATTCGTTTTTTGACTATGAACAATATCTAGACACAACAAACTTTAATTTACAGTGAAACTAGTTAATAGGAATAAAAATTTTACTCTTTGGCAACAAAGGAAAAGACATCCTTGTACAATAGGGCTTGGTTAAAACAATGAAAGGACGAGAATGTGAAGCTAGAACAAATGGAAAAGCATGAGTGATAGGAGTTGGAATCAAGATGTGCGAGCATGATTTGACTCTATATTGCTAACATTATCAATAATGTTATGAATGAAGATTTGGCGCCTCTAATATGAGAAACATTAAAAATCTTTATTTAGTAAAGAGTTTAACCACTCGAAGCGACAACTTGAATATGGAATATAACTCTATATCAATGACCAAAAAGGAGTATAGAAAAGAATGATCAACTGAAAAAGGATTTTAGAGAGACAGGTTTGGGCTCAAGTCTCGAATTGGAAGGGGTGTTACGAGGCATGATGCATTGGAGGTCAGAATTACACATACAAATGTCGAGATTTTGCTCCTTATGGCTACTGCTACTAATACTTTTGTCAGATCAATACTCCCCACGACTCCCCCATTTTATTCAATTCCTTTGATTGAAGGTATAAGTGATTGGGTCATCTTGCTCGCCTACGAAAGTGTAGGTAGAAAAGGTATTCAATGTTATATGTGCAAACAATGTAGTCACATTAAGTGAGATTGTTTTTGAAAAAGAGGGTAGATAAATCTAATTATGATGGTAAAAGACTATGGAGATGTCCTCATAATCTCCGAAGGTATCAAACACTTTTTCTCATGATCATTGGATATTTGATTCTATATGTGTATTACATTTATGTTCTATGAAGGAATATTTTTATGAGTTTCGAGGAAAAATCAACAATGTCTTTAGGTGATGTATCGTTTTATGATGTTATCGGTCTTGAAATAGTAAAAATCATATGTTTGATAGAGTGTTAAGTACTTTGGGTGGCGTCGTTTATGTCCCAAAGATGCATAAGAATCCAATATCATTAAACAAGTTAGACTCCTAAGGATACAATTATTATGTTGCATGTGGAGTCTTGAAAGTCGCATATGGCAGTACAATCCTGATATAAGGAGAAAAGTGTGAAGTTTTATGTTGTCTAATTGGAAAGACAATGATCTCGAAGAGTAGCTAGAAATGGAGTGCACAAGATGGTAGCTATTTGAAAACAATCTTTGGTGATTGGAAAAAGATGAGAATTATACATTTTCAAGTTTCAAATGAGTGTGGAAAGAAAGATCTTGCTGAGGGAGAAGATGGATCAAGAACTCTCTTTAGAGTTAATAGGTAAAGTTGACTCGGGATAATCGTACATAGGCATTGGCCATGTTTTATTTAAATCAAATGAAGTTTAGGATTGTTTACTAATTCAGGTCATGTATTGCTAGTAAATTTTAAGACTAATGGTTATTTATATTCAGTATTTACAAGCGCGTGGAGCCAAGAAACTTCGGGTAACAAGAATATTCGTCAAGGTGGAAATTGTTAGGCTTATGGTTTAAATTCTTTGGAATCATGACAAAGGAAGAGTGGAGTAGCCTCCAATCATTGTAAACTTGGTTGTAAAGTTTGTTTCTTCCTTGTTCACCAAGCATTCCTCGTCCACCAAGTGAGTAGATATGTGATTGTAGAGTGTGCAAAATGCAAGGGTGGAGAGGTTTTTTATAGTGTGAAAAAGATGGATGTACAAGAGCTTTTGGGATTGAGTTTTTAATATAAGAATTACAATCATATTTTTGTAATAATTTTCTCCCATTGTCAAGAATTACTCTCGGATCTGTAGAATAGGTAGGATTTCATCAAATTACGTCAAATCTTATATGTCTACTCTTTATTTATTTTTGTTATTTTTTTCATCAAATTGGATTGTTCGTGATTAATTTCCCAACACATATCTACTGAACATAGACTTAATCACTAAATATGTGTACTTTTACAAAGATCTGAACATGGAAATACCAACTATTATAGGACCTCATCATTCAAAGCTAAATCAAACGTTTAACAACAAGGAGGTCAAATAACCGAGGAGCTTTACTGGTAAGCACAATGCCAATTGGCGATGACTTAAGGTAGGATGGATAGACCATAATTCATCGATTTAATGATATGAGTTATCTTAAATAGGTATGATGAAGTGACAATTATCCAAGAGTAGAGTCAGAAAAGAAGATAAAACTGATCTTACCTGCAAGAGCCGGGCATAGTTTGATAGAAGCAAAGGATGGCAGGGATACTCATAAATCATCTTCTTATAATACTCTTCCACATCACCACTCGGCCCACTCTCGTCAAAGTTCGGAAAACTTAAATTAAAACCGCCGCGGCCGCCACTATCACCACCGAAATCTATATCATCAATCCCAAGCCCTGTAGCAAGATACATGGGAGGACTAACCGGTTCTCTTACTTCTTCAATATCTGTATTCTCAATCTCATTTGATCCTTGTTCCTGGTCCTCCTCTCCTTCCTCCTGTATTAACCCCATGCTCTTCTTTCCAAAACTGAAATCCCCACTACCAATTGATTCTATGTTTTCTCCAATGGTAATAGTTCTCATCAAATCTTCTTCTCTTCCCATATCTACCCTATTGAGTTCTTCATCTTCTTGTCCATCATTTTTGTTAAATATCGAAAAAGAAGGTGAAGAATGCAACATTCTCTTGTGATGTCTATACGGAAACTTGTTTGGTGTAGTAGTTGAGTTATGAAACTCGTCTTGATCACAAGACCATGTATAGACTAAATCGTCCAAGTTACTATCGGACCAAGCTCTTCGAAAGCTGTTAAGTCGAAAACTAGCCTTTTCTTGATTGAGTTCAGAGAGTGGAGATGAGCTGCTGCCTGATAATGGTGTCAAGTTGAGGTGGGGCAAACCATGAGGGAGTGATAGCCTGTGGTCATGAAAAAGTGGGTAGTGTTTGATGTGGTTGGACTTGGTGTGGGAGTTGTTAACAGTGTCAAAGTCTCTATCAGGGCTGGCTGAGAAGGGTGAAAAGAAGGGTCCAGCTGCTGAAGTTGATGCGCTCCTCAGAAGCATTTTTCTTGGATGTTTAATGCTCGAGTCTTTTGCTAGCTTGAGATTGTATGGACGTGATGCCTTTGACCTTGCACAAATTATCAAGAGTTGAAAATTGTTACGTACGTAAAGAGTTATTCGTTTTTATATAAATTAAAACAGGGTTTACATCGATAAAGTTGGCCTAAAGACATCCTTTCCTGATAATGGAGCCAAAACGAAAGAAATCTTTTTACGTCGGTTGATATTGACTTCCACATGAAAAAATCAAATAGCTTCTGATTTTCCACAAAATGAAAGGCATGATAGATTAACAATCTGTGCACCGAATTATAACATTAATCAATGTTTTAATCGAACCAAAGCAATGCTAAGGCATTTGCAGAACCAAATTCATCGAATTATAGCATTAATCTTGCATTAATACTAAAACTAATCTTTTTTTCCTCCGTGCCAATGATTTGGTACACTTTTCCTGACAGCATCTCATTAAGTGCATTAAAATTGAGCTACCCTTGTCCCTTTAGGGGAATGGGGAGGAAACTAAGATATAAAAATGGCTACAAATGTAAGCTTCCATGCAAATTTTCTACTAATGTATAGAATTAGAATTTGTAAGTTGCATTAATTGAAAAGAGGCCCATGCTAATTTTGAATCTTGAAGTTGCGTTTGTAAGTTGCATTTAGTAATATATATAATTTGAATCTTGAAGTTGTTGTTGTTGAAAAGAGTTTTTTTTTTTTTTTTTTTCAAACAAACGTTGATGATATCTCTATGTTGATGATATCTCTTGGGATGTAGAATAGCTAGGTGGTTAATTAGCAAGATGCATGTGAGTACTGCTTTATACTTTCTAGACCCATTAGGCAAGGGAAGGCAGCTAGCATTCTAGCAAGACATATCACATGATAAATGAGCATTGTCTAAGACACCACCGATCTAGGATCTAACCCACGTTTATGGCCAGTGCCCAGTTGGTTAATTAGTATTGACTCCCTTCACTACTTGTTATTTTATAAATTTAACCTCAAAAGGAATCCAAAGACTTCTTTGCTTGAAACTCTGCCTAAACTAATTAATATAAAGAGGGACAACTGGTAAGTCTTTTTTACTCTTATCAGAGCTGAGGGGAGGCCGAGGAGACACACACACATAAATATGTGTGCGTGTGTGGATGGATTAGATGAGAAAAGAAAAGAAAAGAAAACATACCTTACAAGTAACTTGGTGTGATGCAAATTATCTTATCTTGTGGGAATAGGCAATGTCCAAGTCCACTCAATTCACGTTGCTTCACTCCTATAGCGGTGAAGAATGTGTATGTAAGAGTTTGAGAGAGAGAGAAAGAGAGGGAGAGAGAGAGAGAGAGAGAGAGAGAGAGAGAGGGTGTTTTGGGGTTGGAGCAAGATCTATGAGCAATGGAATGGACGTTTCTTCACAGATGGGGCAGCGCTAGCAGCAGAACATGGGAATTTGCGTGCTCGCGTCCATGACGGATCAAGCATTTAATTTAATTTATGTTGGCACGTGTACTTTGTTGAAAGGACTCAGTCGCTGAGGTGTCAACTCAAGAGAGGATGGATGGATGGATGGATGGAGATCGGAGGCTAACAATTTCAGCCCTCCATTCCAAAAGGCTCAAATCGACATGCTATTTTTATTTATTTATCCAATAAGTAATTGGACCCAGGGCTTTGACAATTTTCTTGGACCATTATTGAATATCCATGGCCCAGGTATTGATGACAAATGACCTGAATCTAACATGGGCCTGAAATTGGGCCTCGTCTGTAGCTTGTGGGCTTTGGCGTTATGCACTAAAACAATTGGCTAATGGAGGAGAAGCCGCCGTTATTAGAAACATTAGCGGGTCATGGCCTCACGGGAGAGATTTTTGAGAGAGACTAGCATACTAAGTGCGCGTTATTACTGGTAAATATATATAATGTATTTTTATATTTTAAATAATTTATAAAATTTAAGAGTAGAATAAAAATTAATTAATATTAATTTTAAAATTCTGTTTAATTTAATATGTTTTATGCACTATTTAATAAAATATTTGAATTCCATAATTGAGTATAAATATATCATATTCCCATGATTATGTTTGATTTTGATTAATAATAGATATGCTTGATTATTTTTTAATATCACATTAGAAAAAGGTGTTAAATAAATTTATACTCTAAGAGTACTTGATTTTAGTTAACCAATCTATAAAAAAAATTATTGAGAAAAAAATTATTTTGAGCGAAAAAAAAAAGGGTTGGGCTGGGGCACACACTAGGCCTTTTTGAATAGGTCTCGAGATAGTCGAGCCTGCAAGCTTGGGTTGGAGTCACAGCCCAATACCACCTTTTACTAACAAAAATTAAAATTGGAGATTGTTTTTTATAAAATTATAACTTGAAGGACAATGGATAAATAAATTGTACAAAATGTCTAAAAAATAATTTTTTTTCATACGACTTTGTTTCAAGCAAAAAAACATAAAACAATGTTGTTATGTTGACTATACTAGGGGTTTAGAAACACTAAAACTCCATTTTGTTTTAATATATTTATTATTAATAATATAATTTTAGGGTTAATGGTTTAGAATGTCCTTTTACAGTTTTTTTTGTCTTAATCATATTTTTTTACTAATTTTTTCATTAATTTCGTCCCTCTATGTTAACTTTACATCTTAATTTTGTCCCTTTGTCCAAATTTTCAAGTAATGGCGTCAAATTTTCATGTAAGGCATACGGAATGTAAACACGTAGCATTTATTTTTTCTCTATTTCATTTTTTAATAGAATTAAACAAAGTAATAAAATAAAACCAAATTGCCCCCATATTAAAAATCTCATAAAAACCAACATGTCCTTTTTATTAAAACCTTAATATATCCAAATCATACAAAAATCTCCCTTAATTATCGTTTATCGATTGAAAAAACAAAAACACCGATCTCTTTCTTCATCTTCTTCCTTTCTTTGTCGGTGAAGCATCTCTTCTTTGTTTCTTTCTAATCATTTATCCTTTCGTTTACTCTTTCATTCTCGTCTCTTTAATTCTCTCCTCCTTACTTTCTCCGACACTCAAAATGCAATCCCTCTCTTCTTAGGTTTGATTCGTTCCTCAAGTTGTGATTTAATCAAGTAATTTCACGTGTTATAATTTTGTTTATGTCGGTGGTTTATCCGCATTGTGATTTTCTAATAATTTGTTTGATTTTAATGTTTCTAATTTATGTAATTTGTTTATGTCAATTGACATTAATATTGTTGTTTTAAAATGCAACGGGACAATGGATTCTTCATGTTCATCCAATGAGTCAAGAATTGAAAGAATTATTTCAATCTATAATGCAACATCCCAAAGACTAGAGTATGATTATGAAAAAGATCCTTTATTCCGTAAGTGTGGAGAACAAGTTCCAAGATGGACATCATGGAGTGATCTTTATCGAGCTATCAAGTTTTTATATTGTCGAGTTCATGCTACAAGCAATTAAAGAAAAGATATTGGTTGTGATTTTCATAAATAGTGTGAATCATTTATATTGGGTAAAAGAAGAGATGTGATTTAGACATGAGAGAAAGACAAAAACAATTATTTGCTAAAAATAGACAATCGATGAGAAAAAAATGAGAGATTTGGTATTAAAATTGTAGAATTAAAAGCCGATAATCAAGAATTGAACATGAATTAGTATTCTAAAAAAGAACAATTGTTTATGAAAATTGCAACACTTAGGGTTGAAAAGAACTATGCATTGGAACAGTACTTGAAGCAAAAAATTGAAAGAATATAGAGATACGTATGAGAAAGTTATGTTTAGATACAAGATACAAATTCCGCTATGCCAAATGTTTATTTTTATATTGTTGTTTTGTGATTAGTTAGGATGGTAGAAATGTAATGCTAGGAATAGTTATTAAAAATTTATATTAAATTTTTGTAATTCAAATTTGTATTGCACTCTATATGAACCATTTCTATTGTATGAGAGATTATAACTTTTGTGCTTGCTTCTACAAAAGATGCATAAGGTATGGTAAATGAATATCAAAAATTAGTTGAGAAGTCCTCTAATTCCATCTACAAAAGATTGTCACCAAATTATGACATGTAAAAGGCCTAAATAAGCAAGACACACATGCACCAAGACCAATCCCAAGTCTAAAAGAAGTCCAAAAAAAAAAAAAAAAAAAAAAAAAAAAAGAAAAGAAAAAAGAAGAAAGAAAGACAGTAGCATAGGTTGAAAAAAGTATTATTCTATTCCCAAATCATGAAATAAAATACTTGGATTAAGAAAAATGTTCGGATGGTAAAATAACATCATCCTCAACAAAATATGTTTAAGATTATCAATAAAACTTAAAAATAACAAGTTATGTTGTCCGACTTGTCTCTAAAGTTACCATAATCATTCTTAAATCCCATCTAAATAACAAAACAACAAAATACAATCAAATATCTTTAGCTCCATATTCTATAATTTTCGGATTGAATTGCGGATGAAGGTCATGTCTAAACATCTTCAACTCCATAAAGACTGATATTAAAACAATCAATGGCTTTCACCTATATCACAAATTCTATAATTTATTTAGCCTTTTAGAAAAAGAGATGACTTTCTCACCATTATTTACGGAGTTATAAATAAATAAATAAATAAAATAAAAAATAGTCTATGATTTAGTACATGTCTAGCAAAAAAAATAAAAATAAGACCAAAAACTTACACTTCATATAGAAAAACCAGTTTCTAGCTCAATATAAAGGTCATGTTCAATAACATTCTTTCTAAAACCCCTTCTTCTTCCTCGACCGGATCTTGAAGCACCGCCTCCAGCCTAAACTTGGTGAGTGGGAATCGGTTTCTTAAATTGACTCAAAGCCCAATCTAGTTATCCTCCCTCTTCCTTTATCTTTGATAGATCTTGAACCCTTTCGTCTACATTTCCATATGCATTCCCATTAGCTTCATTCCACTCCACCAATCCATTGACCTTCCTATAATCATGATTTGTACTTTTAATACAACTATTTGTATGTTGTACATCTTAATCATTATTGTCACTCAACCAACCATATTCGAAATCAATATCATTTCACCTCCTAATCGATCCTAATTACCATCATCTTCATGTTCATCATCATAATTCCGTCTACTACTCGCCTCTCTCTTTGTTTGCTCATATTCCTCATCATAATTATGTATGTTTATTATTCTTCCCTCTATTTTTTCATGTTTCTCATCATAATTTTGCCTCTCTACTATCCCTTCCTCATTTGATCATTATTCCTCTCGATTACACTCTTAACAATTTCAACACCATCATCCGTAACACTATCATTTTCAACCATACGGTTGTCTTGAACTTCCACTAGTAGAATTTGCAGTATAACCAAATCTACCATTCACATCAATGCCAAGCTTCTCACATATAATTTTTGGATTGTTCAAATTAAAATATGGATTTTCTTTGTCACTATGTTCATAATACACATTAACTTATTCAGTATTCATTACCAAGCAATCATAGGACATACACTCCTGTCATTACATATTAACCTAAGATATTTTGTTAAATTCTTATTCATGTTTGAATCTTTATAATAAAAACATGTTATATTTGTATAATCTTATGGCTTGGTAAGCTCTAGTTAAAAAAAAAAAAAAATTATCGTCAAAGTTAACATTAACCAAAAAACCCACTTTGTATGTCACGGATAAACCTATGACTCTAAACGTTCTTTATTATTTTCCTCCAATGTGGAGCCTTAACTTACCTGTCTAGAGGGACTAGTATGTATAGAAGCACAATAACGGAGAAAAAATATTAAAAATACAAAAAATTCACTATATGGAGAGACCAAGTGCCATAGAAAAATTTAAAAGATAAAAAAAAAAAAAAAAACTTAATTACTTTGCATAAAAAAATTTAAAAATGATGTACCTAATCTCCACAACTTAATTAATTTGCATAAAAGAATTAAAAAAAATGGCGTACCTAATCTCCACTCAAAATATGAATCTTCTCTTGTATTTTTTTTTAATGGTTGTTGGATTTCCTTTAACTTTATAAAGCGACTAAAAAAGAAAATATAAGAGAAACTTAGGTGTGAGAACACGAGAAAAAGAGAGGATGAAGAATGAACGGGAAGATAAAATGGCTAATAGTAGAGGTTCTCTTGACAAACAAATGAAAAAGAAGAACTAAGGGCTGTGTTTTGATTTTCGTTTGATAATTGAAGAGAGAAGGAGAAAGAAATTTAGGCTTAGGCTTAGAAAAGGGAAAATTCGAAACTGATTTAGAATTTATGTGATTTTTAATATGGGGGCAATTTTCGTTTCATTACCTTGTTCAATTCTATTCAAAAATAAAACCAAAATAAATAAATGACAAGTGTTAGCATTATGTTTGTTTGTCATTGAAAATTGACATCATTTTTTGAAAATTTGGACGGAAGGACAAAATTAAGATGCAAAGTTAATGCAAAGAGATGAAATTAATGAAAAAATTAGTAAAAAAATTATTAAAACAAATAAAAAAATAGAAGGACATCCTGAATCACTAACCTTATAATTTTAGGAAGTAAGTATATGAATTTTAAGAATTTTCCCAAAATAAAAATAAATAAATAAATAAATAAATTTGCACCAAAAAAAAAAAAAAAACAAATAAATCCAAACATGCTCTCCTTTTACAAGTAATGACAACAAATATGGTGTCTAATTATAGCCAATCTAATTCTAATATTGACAATTTGTATTACAGAATCTTTACAGCAAAGAGCCAACCCCCCACCCCAAAAGCTGGAAACTAGCCATTCTTGTCTGACCCAAAGAAACCTAATTCAAGACCTGATGACCTAACTACAATATCCCACCTAGCTATGCATCATTTCAACCTTCTCTCTTCAAACTTGTGATTGTTGTTGTGCTACCTGACCTTAATAGATTGAACTGTTTTCCTCCCGATACACAAAACTGTGCTGCGTAGGTCAAAAACCAGACCCCAAATATTAACTGACCATCCTCCATTTGTTTCGCAGGTTTTTCAATCCACAGCCAAAAAGAGAGAGAGAAGGAAATAATACTAATTAAAAAAAAAAAAACACGCAAAGACAGGAAACCTGATCCTAATGCAACTTCCCTGAGCAGGTCTCCTCCCCTTGATGCCAACCCTCCCTTTGTCGTCCTCTCCTTGGACGACACTCTGGAGGCCCTTTTAAATCTCCATTACAATCATTACAGTTAGCAACAATAGTTTTGATCATTGATCATTACAATGTCTCGTATGATCTTGTCACCATTTCAACTCTTGGAACTCAATGTCATTTCTGCACAAGATCTCGCTAAGGTCTCCCGCAAGATGAAAACCTATGCAGTTGCATGGGTCCATCCTGACCGAAAACTTTCGACAAGAGTCGATTCTGAAGGACATAACAATCCCACTTGGAATGACAAGTGTGTTTTCCGTGTTGATGACAGGTTCCTCCATGGTGACACATCTGCTGTCATGATTGAAATCTACGCCCTGCATTGGTTCCGTGACATTCATGTAGGCACCGTCCGCGTGATTGTTGGGAACCTGATTCCCCCGCCTCGTCCCCACCACCACAACCAATTTCAGCTTGGCATGCGCTTTGTTGCTCTCCAGGTCCGCCGACCATCAGGACGCCCCCAGGGGATTCTTAACATCGGTGTGGCGCTTCTTGATAGCTCAATGCGAAGCATGCCATTGTATTCCCAGCTTAGCCCATCCGCCGTTGGGTATCGTCAGCTTATGGGTGAAGAGGACGTCATAAATCGTCATAAAGATGATTCTGATGATAAAAGTAGTGATATTCGTTCCAATCCCCTCTTGCTTCCTTGGGCTTCGAAACCTGAATTAAGACGTACGAAGAGTGATTCCAGTTCCATGTTCGGGTCAATAGTGATGGCAAAGAGAAAAATGATGATGAAAGGGAAGGGAAGTTCCATGATTAGTGGCTCAGAAGTGGAGGAGAGGAAGATGCAGAATAAAGGGAGATCAAAAGCTAGTTCAATGATCAGCGGATCAGAATTGGTGAAGAAGAATAAGAAATGGAGGCCAAAAGCTAGTTCCTTGGTTAGTGGGTCAGAGATCGTCAAGAAAGACGAAAATAGTAATTTGTTTTTTAGTGATTCAGAGCTTAATGGGGCATTTGCAAAATTCTCATTAACCTCTGAATCACTAACTAACGAAAAAACTGATACCAATTCAACAGAATTGGATAAAATTCTGAAACCTTTACCAAAATTTACCGGGTTGGATCTTGGTTATCCATACAACAACTTCAGGTATGCAACTCCGAAAAAGGACAATTTTGTGAGTAGGCCAGTTATTACCAATTCAGAATTGGGCCCATCACCATCAGAGGTGGCGGCAGCAATGGCAAGAAACAAACATCGTCGCGTGGAAGAGACAGAGAGTGAGATAATAGGTGAGATGAGCTTGGATGGCAGCATGGAGGGTCTTCAATCTAAACTGGAAAGATGGAGAACAGAGCTTCCTCCAGTTTATGATGCTAGTGACATCTCAAGTTATCCTGCTAGTAGCATTTCTAAAGGTGGCAGAGATGTTAAACGACACAACCGCAGGCACACCGATGATGATGGCACGTTTACTTGCTTCGGTAGATTTTGTGGTTTGGAGTGTTCAATTGTGTGTGGTGGCCCTCCCAGGAGGAAAAAGATCGGGCAGGGGAATCGGAGCTATTCCATGGGTGATTTGAAGTACAATATTTAAAAGTGACTGATTGGATCACTTTTTTCTTTACTGATTTGGATCATCCGACCGGTTGAAGTTGGGTAACTAACAGCATTTTGCTATAGTGTCCCATGAGAATGAAGGTATCACAAGAGTCTGCTCTATAATATTGGGTGGAAATCGAGGGGCATAAACGCAGGATAAACAAGATGTGCAGCACTAGATGTGGATGTTAAGGAAATGGAGTTGGTTAGACCATTAATGTTCTTATTTTTCCTTCTTTTATCTGTTTTCTGTTGTTGGTCTCTATTCTTTTACCGATGAATACTTCAATTTTTAGGGAGTAGAACTAATAAGGATGGAGGAACTGTTTTCTATTGATCTATATCTAACCATATTCATCAAAGTTTAGCCTCTCCCTAATTTGATGTTATTTATATATGTACAATAATGGAGAAATTCGGAGATCGGTCTATTAGATATGTTGTTGTTGACTTCGTTATAATCTTGTCGCTTTGTGTTCCTGAAATTGGCAGATCATATTTTCTGCTGGCCAGACCAGGAATGTTTTCATTTTGCTTTGGCTGCTTAGGAAAAAAAAAACTGTATGCAATTTCTGTTATGGCGTAGTAAACTTGAACCAAACTGCAAAATACCCTCTTGCTCTCCAATTTTCTTTTGCATAGTCTCAGATTTGAAGAGTTTCTTTCTCTTTAGTATTGATCAAGCGGCACTATGTAGATAGTAAGATCAATTGTTTTAGAATCCTTCTTATTCTTATGCTAAATATTAGTTTGTGTATCATAGTTTCCTATAGTTTTCAAATCGTAAATCAGATATAGACAATTAATATAAAGTTAATTAGGATGGAAACGAAAAGAAACATCAACTTATCATATTTACAAGAATCAAGCAATCTCAAATTATGTCAATGAATTGTAGCTTTACTGGTATCAATGTCCTTCCTCTCTCGCTAAGAGATTTCAAGTTTCAGCATCTCGTTTGTAAATAAAATAAAATAAAATAAAATCTTTGGCTGCATGTGGTGCCTACTTACGGAAGAGTAAAAAAAAAAGTCAAAATTAAGATTTCATCCAATCTCTTGAAAATTTTGTTCGAAAATAATATAAATCATTTTTAAAACCTCACCCAACGGCATACACTTTTGGATTGAGATGGCTTTTTAATATTGTATCGAGTTATGACCAAATAGTAACCGATTCTCTTCTAATTAAGTACAAAATAATGATAGGTCTTCAAATAAGGCTATCACTTGAAAAAATATGTTAGAAAATAATATAAAACTATTACTAAGCGCTATCGCCCAATGTTGTATGTGCAAATTTCAAGCCTAAAATAGGTTTTTACTTAAAAAAAGTTTATTAGAAAATAATATAAAATTATTTGTGAAAATTCACCTAATAGCTTAACTATTGAAATATGGTTTGAATTTTATGGGCCAATAATATATTTAGCCATTAGGTTTATAGATATGAGGTATTTAAATCTCTTTATGTCTCCGTTTAGGATATAGGGCGAAAAACAAAGACTATGAATCGAGCATCCGGGGTTCTTGTATTCTCCTCGCCGTCAATCTAATAAAATTTCTCTCTCATCCGTGGAGTAGGTAATTTATCGAACCATGTAAATCCTATGTGTTGATAATTTGTTTAACTTTATCTTTTGATTATTATCTCGTCATTACTTTTCTTATTTCGTTATTTGTCATAACAAACCGGTATTAAAATGCGAGTTATGCATCTTTGGATTTTTCTATTCATAATGGCAACTATGAAATTAGATGTTATGCCTTTTAATGATCAAAATAATTTTGGCCTATGGATGATAAATATGAAAGCGTGAAGGTTATGTCAAGGCAATCGAAGGGATATACCTAGATGACATGACTTCTATCAATATTGAAAAGATGGATGGAAAGGCTCATAGTGCTTTACAATTATCATTGTCGGATAAGGTACCGTAAAAAGTCACGGATGAAGAGATGACAACGGGATTGTGTAAAAAGTTGGAAAGCCTCTACAGGAAAAAAATCTCTTACGAGAAGGTTGTATTTGAAGCAAGCATCTTTATATACTAAAGATGCGAGAAGGTACGTCTATTCAAAAACACCTTGACGAATTCAATAAGATTATTATGGATATGAAAAATCTTAATATTAAACTTGATGAGGACGATCAAGCTTTTATTGTATTGTGTTCATTACAAGCTTTATATGAGATTTTTGTTAATTCAATGTTATATGATAGAGACTCCATAACTTTAGAGGATATTAAGGTCTCTTTGAATTCTCGCTGAGTCGAGACATAAGTTGAATGGTAAAGTCATTAATAGTCAGTCGATGGTTTGTTAGTAAGGGAAAGATAGAAAGATAGAGAGCATTATAAAAGAAGACCTAAATTTCGTTCTAGGTCTAGATCACTCCCGAATAAAAAGAACCATGTTGAGTTCTACTACTCGTTACAAAAAAGAATATTACAAATCTGATTGTCTTACTCGAAAAAGTAGGAGAAACCGTAAGGTCAAAGTTTTGATTCTACTAATGTGGTGAAGGATACCGATGTTAATGCTCGTTAAAAGTGTTCTTGTTGTATGCTACTATATGGTCATTCTAACCAAGAGTGGAGTTTGAACATAGGTGTTTCTTATCATATGTATCCAAATAAAGAGTGGTTTACCACTTATGAACTTGTAAGTGATGGCTCTATTCGACAGTCAACAATTCGGTTTGTGAGATGACCGGCATTGGTATAATTCGTATCAAATGTCATGATTTGGGTATGAAGACTTTGATGAAAGTAAGACATATACCATATTTGAAGAAGAATCTAATTTCTTTAAGCTATTTGGATTTAAGAGGTTATGACTATTCCGGTAAAAGTGAAATTCTTAAGGTTTTAAGGCTTTTTTCGTTGTGATGAAAGGAACTCAAATTAATTATCTCTATATGTTATAAGATAGTACAAGTAAAAATCTCTTTAGGGGTGATTACTTTCTATTCCGAAAAGAAAAGACTCAATTGTGGCGGATACATCCGGACCATATGAGTAAGAGAGGTGTGACTACTTTGAGTAAACATGGTTTGGTTTACGGTGATTAAATGACATCACTTGATTTTTGTGAACATTGTGTCTTAAGAAAGCAAACTAGAGTGCAATTCTCTGTTGGAACTCATTTTACGGAGGGTGCACTTGATTACATTCATTCAAATTTGTAGGGACCAACTCAAGTTCCATCTAAAGGTGGTGCACTTTATTTTTTGATGTTTATTGATGATTACTCGTAGAAGGTTTGGATTTATTTTTTCAAACATAAGAGTGATGTTTTTGAAACCTACAACCAATGAAAAAGTTCTAGTAGAAAATCAAACAGGGAAGAAGGTTAAAGTTCTTCGAATAAATGTTGGTTTAGAATTCTATAGTGGAAATTTTAATGAGTTTTGTACAAACTCTAAGATTATCCGGCATCACACAGTTAGGCACACTCCTTAGCAAAATGAAATGGCAAAGCGCATAAATAGGACTTTGATGGAGAGAGCTAGATGTATGCTCTTTAATTCGAGTTTGGAAAATGATTTCTAGGGCGAAGTAGTTAACACAGACTTTCCTATCTTATCAATCGTTCTCTCTCTACTATCATTGATTATAAAAATTCAAACGAGGTAGGGTCGGGTAAGTTTAGTGATTATTCAAATTTAAAAATATTTGGATGCCCCGTTTATTATCATGTTAAAGATAGTAAACTTGAACCTAGAGTAAAGAAATACATATTTGTTGGCTATGCTTGATGAGGTGAAAGGTTATCGTCTATGGTGCTTTGAACTCAATTCATCTAAATACATTATTAATAGAGATGTTACTTTTAATAAGAGATTTATGCTTGATCAAGAAAAAGTTGTTTATGATTCTAAGGAAAGAGTGAGAAAGTTGTGGATAAGATGGAGTTTAAAAGAGAGACTCCTCAATAACCATCTCTATATGTATCCTCTACGACTTGCAAACTATAATAAGATTCAAATGTGAATGAAGATGCCACAAAATCTAAACAACTTTACTCAATAGCTACTAATCGAGAGAAGAGACAGATAAGACCTACCTAAAAGTATGCTTATGCCGATCTAGTAGCCTTTGCCCTCACTGAAATTTAGACAATAGATATTCGGGAGCCTTCTACCTATATAGAGGTAATGATTTGTAAAGAGTATAGTTAGTGAGCCATTGTAATAACAGAAGAACTTGAGTCACTTTAAAAAATTCAAACTTGGGATTTGGTACAATCACTTAAAGGCAAAAGAGTCATTGGATACAAATGGGTCTACAAGAAGAAGGTCGGAATACCGGATGCTGAATATGCTAGATTTAAGACACAATTGGTGGCTAAAGGTTATAGTCGAAGGAGAGAATTAATCACAATGAATTATTTTCTCCAATTGTAAAACATATCACTATTTGTATATTGCTTATTATGGTGACTCAATTTGACTTGAAGCTCGAGCAACTTGATGTGAAAACAGCTTTTCTACATGAAGAGCTTAATGAGACTATTTATATGTCTAAACTAGAAGGATACTTTGTGAAAAAAAGAAGACATGTTTACGAATTGAAGAAATCTTTGTATGGCCTAAAACAATCACCAAAGCGAGTGGTATTTGATAATTTTATGCTTAATAATGGTTATTCAAGATCTACTTATGATAGTTGTGTATATTTCGGATAGTTAGCGAGATGGATCTTTTATGTATCTCTTATTATATGTGGATGACAAGCTTATTATTACCAAGAACATGTCAAAAATTTAGGTGCTGAAAAAACAAATCGGTGATGAGTTTGAGATGAAAGATTTTGAAGTATCAAAGAATCTTAGGTATGGAGATTCATAGAGACGAGGAATGTTAAAAAAATAAATCTTTCACAAAAAGGATATATTAAGAAAGTGCTTAAGCGTTATGGTATGCGAAGGCCAAACTCGTAGCACCCACGATCTAGGACCTCGTAGGTCAAAAATATTACCGTCGTTTACCT